TGCTGTGAGTATAACCTCTCTTGTCTTAGCTGCTGTGAGTATAACCTCTCCTGCCTTAGCTGCTGTGAGTACAACCTCTCCTGTCTAAGCTGCTGTGAGTATAACCTCTCCTGTCTTAGCTGCTGTGAGTATAACCTCTCCTGTCTTAGCTGTTGTGAGTATAACCTCTCTTGTCTTAGCTGCTGTGAGTATAACCTCTCCTGTCTTAGTTGCTGTGAGTATAACCTGTCTTGTCTTAGCTGCTGTGAGTATAACCTCTCCTGTCTTAGCTGCTGTGAGTATAACCTCTCCTGTCTTAGCTGTTGTGAGTATAACCTCTCCTGTCTTAGCTGCTGTGAGTATAACCTCTCCTGTCTTAGCTGCTGTGAGTATAACCTCTCTTGTCTTAGCTGCTGTGAGTATAACCTCTCCTGTCTTAGTTGCTGTGAGTATAACCTATCTTGTCTTAGCTGCTGTGAGTATAACCTCTCCTGTCTTAGCTGCTGTGAGTATATCCTCTCCTGTCTTAGCTGTTGTGAGTATAACCTCTCCTGTCTTAGCTGTTGTGAGTATAACCTCTCCTGTCTTAGCTGCTGTGAGTATAACCTCTCCTGTCTTAGCTGCTGTGAGTATAACCTCTCTTGTCTTAGCTGCTGTGAGTACAACCTCTCCTGTCTTAGCTGCTGTGAGTATAACCTCTCCTGTCTTAGCTGCTGTGAGTATAACCTCTCCTGTCTTAGAACCTCTCCTGTCTTAGCTGCTGTGAGTATAACCTCTCCTGTCTTAGCTGCTGTGAGTATAAAATCTCCTGTCTTAGCTGCTGTGAGTATAACCTCTCTTTTCTTAGCTGCTGTGAGTATAACCTCTCCTGTCTTAGCTGTTTTGAGTATAACCTCTCTTGTCTTAGCTGCTGTGAGTATAACCTCTCCTGTCTTAGCTGCTGTGAGTATAACCTCTCCTGTCTTATCTGCTGTGAGTATAACCTCTCCTGTCTTAGCTGCTATGAGTATAACCTCACCTGTCTTAGCTGCTGTAAGTATAACCTCTCTTATCTTAGCTGCTGTAAGTATAACCTCACCTGTCTTACCTGCTGTAAGTATAACTTCTCCTATCTTAGCTGCTGTAAGTATAACCTTACCTGTTTTATCTGCTGTGAGTATAACCTCACCTGTCTTAGCTGCTATAAGTATAACCTCTTATATTTCATGTATCTCAACACTTGCATGTTCTCCGTGTGACGTATGGGAAATATAGTCGTGTTACAACCCATTTCAGAGTTGTAAAGATGGTAGGATATAACGGTGTTACTCGTTAATCTGATAACATGTTGATGGTTCCCGTTATTTTTGTGAATGCGTAATGTATTAGAGGGTGTTACAACAAATACTCTGTTGACGTATTGTGGTGTGATGTATTAATACAATGTTGTGTTATACTACAGACGGCGCAGGAGGCCTTGGAGGAGGAGGTAACGGAGGTTGAAAAGTCTGACAGTCTTCCCGCAACAACCAAGGATCACCATGCCACAACCCGCCTGTGCCGCGGACATACAATCTCGGTCAGTAGGTCCCGCAGGTGAACGGAAGACTCGTGTTACAGAAGAAGCTTTGAATGGAACAATATTTCACTCAGTGAAGATCTTTATCAAGTCCTATAACGGTGTCCCAACAAAAGCTTGTTGGGACAACGTTCAGCTTGGTGTAGAGCTTTTATCAAGTCCCATAACAGTCCCAATAAAAGCTAACAGAATCCTTGGCTTCATATCAAGATGCATAAATAATAAGAGTCCTCGGGTTGTTCTTCAACTCTATACGTACATCCTTGGTTAGACCTCATTTAGATTATGCTGCACAGTTTTGGTCACCGTATTACAGAATGGATATAAATGCTCTGGAAAACATACAAAGGAGGATGACAAAGTTGATCCCATGTATCAGAAATCTTCCCTCTGAGGATAGACTGAGGGGTCCTGAATCTGTACTCTCTAGTAAGGCGTAGAATTAAGGGGGATATGATTGAGGTGTATAAATGGAAGACAGGAATAAATAAAGGGGATGTAAATAACGTGCTGAAAATATCTAACCTAGACAGGACTCGTAGCAATGGTTTTAAGTTGGAAAAATTCAGATTCAGGAAGGTTATAGGAAAGCACTGGTTTGGTAATAGAGTTGTGGATGAGTGAAACAAACTCCCGAGTACAGTTATAGAGGCTAAAACGTTGTGTAGCTTTAAAAATAGGTTAGATAAATACATGAGTGGGTGTGGGTGGGTGTGAGTTGGTCCTGACTAGCTTGTGCTACTAGGTCTGATGCCGTGCTCTTTCCTTAAGTAGAAGTGATCTGACCTGACTAGGTTGGAGCATTGGCTTAAGCCGGTAGGAGACTTGGACCTGCCTCGCATGGGCCAGTAGGCCTGCTGCAGTGTTCCTTCTTTATTATGTTCTTATGTTGTTCTACCAAATATGTCTTTTCACTGTTGTCGCTTGTATTCAGTCCAGGGGGTCAAATAAGACCCTAATAAGCCACAGGAAGTTCCTTGAAGAGAAGGCAGGTGGACCAAGATTTCACTGAGACAACCTCGTAGTCAGGCGGATATCTTTCGAGTTTCCCAGAATATTAAAATAATACTTTATCTTTCATCCTGGGAGATCCCAAAGAATTTCTTCGTGGGTTACAATGTTTCCAAAGGGTATGCTTTTTTTTTATTGGGAATTCAGTGGATTGCGGATTTCATGGACTGATTGTGGACACCGTAGAGTGATTATGTATTCCATAGATTAATTGAGGATTTCATGGACGGACTGTAAATTACATGAATTAATTGTGAACTTCAAATGAGCTCACTGAAGGCTCAAGAATGGATTAAGATTAACCAAAGAATATATTAGTAGGTGTGTATTGAAAATGCAACACAGAATATATCAAAATAAGTAGTAAAAGTAATAATATTAATAAAAATGTTGATGAAGAATGAGTCACAATATGGCAGCTGGAACACCTCACAAGTAATCCACAAACTAGAAATAAAAGTTTTATAATGGTCCATGTGGGATTAATACGTCACCCAGTTTTTATTTCAGTTTATGGGATAGTTGTGAAAATTATTCATAAAAATTGAAAGCACTGATATTAATACATATATTAGGGTGTAATAAAGGCTGGTAGACTTACCCACGTAGAGGCAGTAAAACAATATGAATATTGTGTATTTCTCCTTCATACTGGGACCCTCTTCAACAAGTCAGTTTCTGAAGAGGATGGCAGTGTAAAGTTGAAATATGCAATACTCATCTTTTGTTTCGTTGGCTCCACGTGGGTTCGCTAGTGAAAGTTGTCTTCCTTGTTGCATGTGTCAGGACGCGGGGAGCAGACTGAGGTGTCGCGTGAATGCTCGTGGCAGCAGCTGGCTGACGCTGATGCCCGTCAAGATGGAGGAGCACAGTCTTGATCCTCTCATTCTCTCCTTCCATGACGTGTTATCTCCCCACCAGCTGGCCGTCCTCCGCCACCTGGCTACACCCATGGTCAGTGTCTTCTTCTTCACATTATATATTCTTATGTTCAGGTTAAATATACTTACGTTTCTTCATGTTCGTTTTTATCTTTCTATAATGTTTGCATTGATCACAATCTTATTTTTAGCATACAGTTGTAATAAATATAATTACCTGTCTGTAGCTAAATGAACAGAGCTATGCTGTTGGTGTGTGCGCGTGTGTGTGTACTCACCTAATTGTGGTTGCAGGGGTCGATACTCAGCTCCTGGCCCCGCCTCTTCACTGATCGCTACTGGGTCCTCTCTCTCTGCTTCCTGAGCTTTGTCGTACCTCTTCTTAAAACTATGTATGGTTCCTGCCTCCACTACTTCACTTGCTAGGCTATTCCACTTCCTGACGACTCTATGATTGAAGAAATACTTCCTAACGTCCCTGTGACTCGTCTGAGTCTTCAGCTTCCAGTTGTGACCCCTTGTTTCTGTGTCCCTTCTCTGGAACATCCTGTCTCTGTCCACCTTGTCTATTCCCCGCAGTATCTTGTATGTCGTTATCATGTCACCCCTGACCCTTCTGTCCTCCAGGTCGTCTGTCCGATTTCCCTCAACCTTTCCTCGTACGACATTCCCCTGAGGTCTGGGACTAGCTTTGTGTGTGTGTGTGTGTGTGTGTGTGTGTGTGTGTGTGTGTGTGTGTGTGTGTGTGTGTGTGTGTGTGTGTGTGTGTGTGTGTGTGTGTGTGTGTGTGTACTTATGGCAGGGTTGAGTCTCTGCTCCTGGCCCTGCCTGTCATCCACCTTGTATCTCAGTGCCTTACCCAGTTGAACACTGGGTAAGGCGCGACGCTAGGCTAGTCTCCTGACACCTCTTGTTCACCTAACAGTAAATACTCAAGAGTTAATTGTTTAGGGACTCATCCATAGGACCTCAAGGGAAATAAGCCACACTGCCTGGCTTACTTTGGTTATCATGGGTTTTTACGTCTGTTAGGTTAATAATCTAAATATTTTTTTCTTTCCTATTCTCGGTCACTCTTCCTGATCTAATGGACTCTGTTATACCTACTCTTTAACCCGTGTATAGAATCTGCTTTCACCATCTCTTGCAGCACTTTTTAACTCGCACAGCTTATAGATTGTTTTAATAATAATATTATTATTATTAACAATAATAATAACAATAACAGCCGCTTCCTCATGCAGATTTCAGGATAGTTTCACTTGCTAATCACCCTCGCATCCAAACAATGATGACTTCTGACGTCCCTGTGACTCACTGACGTCTCTTAGTATAGCTGTCTCGCGGTCCCTTTTGTCTGATTTGATCTCTGTTCACCCAGTCTTCTATGTATCATGGACGACGTAATCATATCTCCCCCTGGCTCTCATCCAGTGAATAAGAGGCAACATGTGGTTTATGGCATTTATTGAGAGGACGTCCTGGTGGGCGAAATGTTTCCTCTGTGATAATGATAGCGTTTTATTTCTCTGAACTACACAAATAATATAGTTACGTGTGGTTAGCTACGATCATCAGTTGAATACGGTAATGATTAGTGGTCATTTAGAAAATAATTACATATTACTTAGATTGACTCAATGATCTTCGGTAAATACAATAAACTGCGTATTGTGCTTTATTAACATACTTGTCAGTATATTTTACTACTGATATACTTTGTTATGAGTGTATAAACTGTCGGTATATGAGTGTATGAATACAACTGTCGTACCGAGTTGACGTAGAGCATGAAACAAATAATAACAACTTTGAACGCAACAATTCCAAAACTCTAAGAGTGTTTGTGTTTATTTACGTACAGCTACAGGAAGCGGTGATACAAGGGATGGAAACAGAAGTAACCCACAACTACAGATCATCGTACACCTCCTGGCTACACCACCACATACACCCGGTCGTTGCCGCTGCCAACCGCATGATTGCTGCTCTCACAGGTACCTCGTCAACTATACAGATAAATAATAATAATAAATAATTGAATTGTATATTTAAATTACAAAGATGAGATATCTTTGTGTGTGTGTGTGTGTGTGTGTGTGTGTGTGTGTGTGTGTGTGTGTGTGTGTGTGTGTGTGTGTGTGTGTGTGTGTGTGTGTGTGTGTGTGTATATATATATATATATATATATATATATATATATATATATATATATATATATATATATATATAATATATATATATATATATATAATATATATATATATATATATATATATATATAATATATATATATATATATATATATATATATATATATAATATATATATATATATATATATAATATATATATATATATATATATATATATATATAATATATATATATATATATATATATATATATATATATATATATATATATATATATATATATATATATATATTCCGGTGTGTATGTCTTGATGTGTATACACTGAGCAACAGTGAATGTACACCTTACATATATCAGCATGTCTACACTTAGAGTTTGCTTTAACCCTTATTTTAAGGGTTACAAAATCTAATCCCTGTTTTAGGGGTGCAATCATTCTTGACTGGTGGCACACAGCCTTAACGAGCCTTGTGTAGTATATAGGCTTTAATCCTGATAACTTTAAGGTGAGTGCTATGGCAGGTCTGGAGGTGGACGAGAGTAAGGATGAAGCTGAAAGACTTCAGATCAACCTGTATGCTGCAGGTGGTCACTATGTTCCTCATATGGATTTCATGGCCCTCTACCGCACCTTGGTGAGTCTTGTCATGTTATGCATGCTGTTCTGTATAATTCTGCTGTCACATTCTCTCTGATGTTTTTGGTTTTGAGTCTCGCCCTTTTATGCATGCTGTTCTGTATGATTCTGTTGTCATGCTTCTATAAATGTTTCTGTTTTCATGTCCTATGTGATGCCGGTGAGATTAATAATTGGTATTTCACCCTGTGTTCTACTATATCTGTGTGGACTGTTGGTGTCAGTAAGTTCTGGTTATTAATGCCTTAGAATTCACGGTCCTTGTATTTGTTGCTCTCATAATACTCGGCTGTGCTTGTGGAACTCTCAGGAGCATGTATGATGACATCATCTCCCAAGGAGGTGTGTATCTTGGCCAGGAGGCAGGTCCTCAGGTACATTAACCTAACAGGCTTGCTTTTCTGATGAACACTGATGATTTTTGTTCATTTTGGCGACCGTGTGATGATAGTATATTTTGAGTACACAACAACTTCGTATTGTGTGCACAGACTGTCCTGAGAACCATGTGGCTGGGGTCGAGGAGCTCTAGTCGTGACGTTCATGCAGTCCTTGAGCTGCTCCCGATTATACTGTGCTTGTTTACCAAGCGTGAGTGTGGGGTCCATCCAGGCGCTTAGATACTGGTACTTCGTCACTCACTCAAGATTACCCTTGTAGGCGTAGAATTGGTTTTGTCCCAATATTCACATCTTCAGATTTTTGTTACGGTGAAGCAATAAACGCGTAGGAGTTATACAGTACCCGGGGAATGGGAGGCAGGGTCGATCAGAAGGAGAGAGTAACTTCATTTCCTTCAATCAAGAGCCCTTTACCAGCATCAAAATCCCTCCCTTGAAAGGGTATAGATTGTGGTAACCTGCTGTGTGCATGTTTTATTAGTGCTCTTTGTATTTTGTTAACCCGGAAAGGACTGAACCTCTAACCACAAGCAACAGATCAGTGGTAGAGCGTACAGCTCGCAATTGAAAGGACCTGGGTTCAAGTCGGGTGGGGCGAGACGTATTGACAAGTATCCTAGCATCTGCTGTCCCTGTTTGCTTAGCAATGGATAGATGCGTACGAGTTGGTCGACTAGTGAGAGTCGCATCTTATGGGAGACCATAAAATCCCTAAGGAATGTAAGTACCCTGATTAGTTTTCTTGATTTAATAATCCGAATAAAGTTCTCTGCCTCAGTAACGAATTTACAGTAGTACCATGATAAAGTTAGTGAGGCAGCACCCTTGAAGCGTACTGGTGTCACTGCTGTCTTCCCCTCGACACTACTTAGTATTATTATAATCATAGGGAAGTGCTAAACCTGTAAGGGTCATGCAGCACCTGTGGAATATGTTTCATCCAAGAGAGGGTAGCTCCAATTCCTCGGATTAAGAACCTTTTAAAGCATCAAAACTCCTCCCTGATGGGTTACTGCTGCCCAGTGTTGAGTTTGTAGGCTGTAAAAAAATATTTAACACTGGAACGTTTTGTTGGGAATCTCTTTGCTCACAGGGAGCTTTATCAATTGAATACAGGACATAAAGAATTTAGTAAATATAGGAGCAAAAAAAAAGTCCGATGTGAGAGTCACGTCAGTGGTGTGTCGGTCAAAGCAAATGATTGCAGTGGTCTGCCTGCATAGCAACATGCTGGCCATTACGTCTGACGTGTTAAAATTGCTGGATTTCTGGAGGACGGTATTGCAAATGGTAACAAGCGAAGATTCAAGGCAGCTCCTCGTATACAAATTAGTCACCTTGAGTCTTTCCTCTTCCCACTTCATCATGGCCATGTGAGCTTCGGTGAATGACACAAGAGTTGCTCATGCGTACCTATTCTCTCAGAGGCACTGCTCCAGGCTTCTTGCCATCTCTCCCGCACACTATCTCAGTCACCACAAGGTATAATGTAAATTTCTTAGCCAGAATCTGTGGATGTGGTGGTAACTTTAACCACGTCCCTGGTGGTGGCTAAAAAACTGAAAACATCAGTGGCTATGCTCCCGCATTCCAGGACAATGTTATCTGAAGCTGCTGTGTACAGCAGCACTGTAACGCTACTGATAATTATGGATCTAAAATGCTCACCCTATAAGCGGATATAAGTTTGTTAGTACAACACTGAAGGGTGATCCATTAGCCAACCCAAAACACTGCCTATATCTGGTTTCGCCGAACTTGAAATAGTTGAAATTAACACAAAATTCTACGAAGTCCGTGGAATCCTTGTGAGGAATAGGGAGGGAGGTCCTTGTCTGATAGAATGTTGCACCCTTTGTTGTGGGCATGTTGGTAAACAGAGAGGTAACGTCACAACCTGTTAGGTTCTCATTTTTAATGTTGATGAGTAAGACACGCGTGGAATAATTATCTTTATTGTTGAAACGTTTCGCCTACGCGGTAGGCTTCTTCAGTAAAATGCAAGGAATAAATTGGACAGGAATAGTGGCGAGGTAAACGTGATGTAATCAGTCTGTCAACCTTGAAGAAATAGTTCTTGTCAGTCCCTCAGCCTGAAGAAGAGTTCAGCCCCATAGTCTGAGACACTGTTACAGACTATGGATTATTATTATAATCAAGGGGGAAGCGCTAAACCCGTAGGATTATACAGCGCCCGGGGGGGATGTGGAAGGCATTCAGGCTTAATTCGGGGAACTGGAGCACAGATCCAATTCCCTAAATCAAGAGCCCCTCATCAACATCAAGGAACCTTCCATGAGGGGTACAGACTATGGAACCCGCCTGGATATCCTAGAAGCGCATGTGTATGGGGTAGGCTCTTACATGTCTCAAACACTGTTTCTCAAAATGAAGAAAATTTTATTTCAAGGACTGTAGGAAGAATCCTACTTCAAACACATGAGACCTCTATTACTTCTACCCCATCCTTCGTAGTCTAGAGACAGGTTTGCTTTCCGGATGGACGCTGATGGTTTTTGTTCCCTTTGGCGACTGTGTGATTATAGTATAATTGGATTGGTAGGTAAGACACATAGGCAACAGTTAGGCAACTTTATTCCGAAACGTTTCGCCTACACAGTAGGCTTCTTCAGTCGAATACAGAAAGTAGGCAGGAACAGTAGAGATGTGAAGACGATGTAATCAGTCCATCACCCTTGAAGTCGTAGAATTTGAGGTTGTCAGTCCCTCGGCCTGGAGAAGTTCAGTTCCATAGTCAGGAACAGATAGTTCCTGACTATGGTCCAAGTAGTGGAACCTCAAAGCCTAGATACCTGTATCTGCTTACATATTCTAGAAAAGACCCATCATGCAATTGGATCTGACGAACTGTGCCTCTCTGTCGAGGACGCCGCCTATTGAGTATCTTTGTTTTATCAGTAGAGATTATCAACCCCAGGTCCTGATACGAGGCTAGTACATGATTAAGAATGTTTTGGAGAATCCGGTGGTGTGAATCATTATGTCATCAGCAAAACTAATCACATAATGATGGGGCTGACTAGGCATAGCATTAAGTAATGCATTAATTAGAATATTGAACAGGGTGGGACTGAGCACACCTCCCTGTGGGGCTCCTAATTCAAAGTCTTTAGTTACACTTCAATGTCCCTGGAACAACACAGACGATTTTCCGTTGGACAGGTAGCCTTTAATCCAGCGGAGAAGCCATCCTCCAACATCCATTCTGGCAAGTTCACTAATGATTACATGTCGGTTGGCTACATCGAAAGAGGATTTAAGGTCAAGGAAGGTAGTGTATGAGCTGTCAGTGTGCAGGGTGAGAAAGGTGGCTATGCAATGATGCACGCTCCTTCCATGCATGAAACCATGTAACCGGGGAGACAAAAATTGTTTGATTCTGTACATGAGACGATTAAGAATCATTCTCTCAACACCTCCTGTTTCCACCCATACCGGGAATCGAACCAGAGAGCTCAGTGTGTAAGCTGAATACACTAGCAATTGAGCTACGGGATGCCCTTGGTTCATATCTGATTACTCCAAGTATCGCAGGCACTATATAACCCTCATGGGTTTAGCGCTTTCCTGCGAATAATATATCACGCATTTTCCCATTGGCAGTTAGTGAATTGTGAACTGTTTAACCCACGATACTGTGACATTTATTCTCTAACACAGTGTACTTATTATCTTGATGCAGTGGGAAGCTGATGAACCAGACCAGAAGGTGATGAAACAGTTCCCTAGTGGAGACCGCATTGCCACCTTCATGTTCTATGTAAGTCTACTCGTCATCTGACTTATTATCACCACTTTGTTCTGTGTTAATTTCATTTGAGTTGTCATAATCACTACCTTGTCTACTCATCATCAATACCTTCATGTTCTGTATAAACCTACTCGTTATCTGAGTTATCAACATCAATATCTTCGTATATCGTGTAAGTCTACTCTTGGCCTGAGTTATCATTTCTGCCTTCTTGTGAAGTTCTGTGTAAGTCTAATCATATAAATTATCATTAGTACCTTCATGTTCCTCTTCATCTAATGATATAAGCAAATTAAGCACTAAACCAGAAAGGCTCATATATAATTATAATAATCATGGGGTAGTTCTAAACCCGTAGGATTATACGGCGCATGTAGGGGAGGATGGAAGATATTCAGGCTCAGTTCACGGAACCGGAGCACAGATCCAATTCCCTAGATCAAGAGCTCTCACCAGCGTCAAGGAATCTCTCTTGAGGGGCGAAAGGGTCATAAAGTACAGTAGGGACGTTATGTGCTACAAGGAGGCATGTGTGAACGCTAGGAGTGTGCTTGGGTATGGGAAGTGGAGGTAGGGGAGACTGCAAGAGTTAGTGCAATAAGCTAATTTCTATTAACATGTCACCCCTTAACTCTTAAACTGTCCAAGCAGATCTACGTTCACATGCGTAGTGCTCCAAAAGTAGATCTACGTTTTCTTTTTACATATTTTCAAATATAACCAAAAAAAAAGTAGGTCAAAAGTATGTAAAAAAAGATCTACCTTTTTTTACATACTTTCAAATGTTGAAAAAACGTAGATCTACGTTTGGACAGTTTAAGGGTTAAGGGAGGTTCCTCGATGCTGGTGATGGGCTCTTGTTCTAGGGAATTGGATCTGTGCTCCAATTCCCTGAATTAAACCTAAATGCCTTCTATCATCCCCCACGGGCGTTGTATAATCACTACGGGTTCAACGCTCACCCATTACAATCAAAACTAAGCGCTAAACCAACAAGAGCACTTCCATGATACTACTACTAAAATAATATTAAAATGTCAGAGTGGGGTAAGAGTCTGCATCTAAGATGGTACTTGTTCTAGATCAGTACCTTCATGTCCTGTAAGTCTAAGCATGACCTGAGCTATCACTATATTATTACATTCATGGGGGGGGGGAGTGCTAAACCTGTAGGGGGTTATATATTGCCTGGGTAAATGAGAGGCAATCAGGTTCTACCCAAGGAAATGGAGGATAGATTCACTTCTTTGAATCAAGAGCCCCTCAGTTACTTTCATGTTGTACAAGTCTGCTCATCTTCCAATTTATCAAAACTATATTCTTGTTTTAAATAAGTCTACATCTCTCCTAAACTATCATCGAGACACATTTTACTTGTTATTTTTTGCATTACTAAGGAAGCATTGAACCAGCAAAAATCATGCAGTGTCTAGGAAATGGGAGATTAGATTTATTGTAATCATAACTAAGCGCTAAACCCACAAGGGTCATACATCGCTGAGGGTGATTAGATTTGATCCACGGGAGTGGATTTTATTTTAATCTGGGGGAGGAGTAAAGTATTAAACCTACTGGGGGCCATGAAACTCCTAGGGATGATATAATCAAACTAAGTGTTAAACCCAAAAGGGTCGTATAGTGCTCCACGGTGGGATGTGCTAAAGGAATTTGTGGTCATAGACTAATGTGTTGTAGGAGTGTGCAAGAGGTAGGGATAGCAGGGTAGTGGAGCATACTAAAGGTAAAATATAATTAAAGTTGGTGCAATAAGTTAGTTTCTATTAGTCAAAGGAGGAGTCTGCATCAAAAGTGAGCTCTTGGAAAATGGGAGGCATTCAGGTTTAATCTAAAGGGAGGATAAGTCCAGGTCCTTCAAGAGCCCCTCACTGGCATCAAGATGTGTATCTGTGATAATATGGTATTATAAAAGAAAAGTGATACCTTAATATGCAGTCTGGCCCTTAGTGGAAGATTATTACAGGCATTATTATTATTGTTATTGTGAGGAAGCAATGACTTGGCGTCATACAGTGCTTGGGGAAGGGGAGGGTAGGTCCAGTTTGTCTAGTTTAAATAATAATAATAATTTTATTTCAGCATGATACATATTTGTACAAAGTAGTATAACAATTGGGTATACATGCCAAAAGCCCCTTTGTATGCAGAGCATTTTAAGCACTTTCATAATTTATCAATCACTGTCAGTGATCATGCTTATTGACCTAACAAGTTTTACTCGAAACATTCAACGTATTGGTGTTTTCCATGTTTACTAGATCTACCTTTCGCCTCCTTGAATCAAACCTGATTACCTCTCGCTTCCCAGGTGCTTTAAGAATATACTAAAAATACAGTATGAGTTTACATTTTCCAGATGAGTGATGTGGAGGAGGGTGGATGGACGGTATTCCCTCGCTTGGGTGTGGGTGTCAAACCCCGACAGGGAAGTGCTGTGTTTTGGTACAACCTGCTGCCATCAGGGAAGGGTGACCCCCGCACCCTACACTCTGCTTGCCCTGTTCTACGTGGTTCCAAGTGGGGTATGACATACTCTTGTTACACTTCTTACTCCATCTTGATGCTTTAACAATAATGTGAAAGTAAATAATGCTAAAACTTGTACGTATTAAGAAGTCAGTAAAGGCCTATGGTTAGAGGGTAAATGGTCACATGTGTACTTAAGAAACTTTTATTGAAGATGTTTTGGTCTTGAGACCTTCATAACTTCACTTGTATTTGAAGTGATCAAGGTGCCATAATCAAAATGTCTTCATTAAAGGTGTCCTAAGGTTATGCATTTGTGTCTATTTTGATACTAAAACTACTATCAGTAAAACTTGACAAATATCAAGTAAATAAACATATTCACTTTATTTAAAATGCAGAATATACTGTACATAATTTTTTTTTTAATTTTCTTTTCTTTCAGTGAGTAACAAGTGGATTAAATACTATCCACAACTGCACCATAAACCATGTCTACCTTTGGTAAAATAACCATTTTCAGAAAAAAATCAGGACTTTAAGTATACCCATGACATTAAGGTTTTTATTTGACAATGACTGTATTAAATTGTTGGGGAGGCAGACACCGGAAGTAAACTTTTTAACAAACTAACCTATTGCACCAAAGATTCAAGAATTCAAGACTATAGGATATGGTAAGGAGGGAGAATGGAGGAGGAATAGTAAAGGAGACAGCTTGAAAAAAAGGTATGGGATAAAGAGGAAGATGAGGGAAACAAAAGCACAGCAACCCTTCTACTTTGATATTAAAGTGTAAATGGATGTATGTAAAAGAGAGATTGGAAAGCTAAGATATATAACATGTCCCACAGCATACACAATAAAAAAAAAAAAAAAAAAAAAAAAATATGAGCAGATGAACAGCAGCCTTTTTTTTATTATCCAATATACACTTCACGAGTATACATGGTGGTGAAAACGAATGACAGGAGGCACAGTGACAGGCACATTGGATCTTGCAAGTGGGGAGGAGTCCATTGGTCTTCTCAATTGTGAAACTTGGTGACCATAACAGCTGACTGGATCATCAACCGACTGGGACAAGGAATTGCCCAGTCAGGTTGTATCTCCCTTATCACTGTGGTTGGATGGAAAGGCATTGATGGGTGCAGTGTTGGGAAAATATTCCCATAACTGGATTGTCAACTGACTGGGATGAGGAACTGACTAGTTAGGTAGTATCCTCCCTACCACTGTTATGGGATGGAAAATCATTAAATAAATAGTGTTGGAAAAATATCCCCATAGTGATGAACATTATAGCAGTGTATGTTAAATTTAAGTATAAGTGAGTTCGGGTGGTACCCAAATTGTAAAATATTGAATGACATGAGTTTTCATTTACCTAAACATATTTTAACCTGGAATATTCCACAGAGGGGGGACCATGTTACGCAAAACAGTTAGAATGCTTGACTCGTGGCACACTAGTACCATTTTTCAATTTGGTGAATGCTTCTTTCTCAAGATAAGAGACAGAAGAATTCTTGAGTCACCTTGGGGATGTGTGTGTAACTGCATCAATAGATTTGACTTGAATCACTGCCTTAAGAGGTACCTGAGAGCCTGAAGCTCAAGCAATCTAGAAATATTAATGTCCAGGAAAGGACAAAGGAACCTTCACTCAGCAAATCGAGGCAAAGCTACTGGTGGCTTGAACTTGTTTTCATTTTGATGGAGACATAGCTTGAACCTGGCAGCTATGGAGAAGAGATGAAATGAATACCTTAAATCATGAATAAATTCAAACCTAGTGCACCAAATTTGATGTCGATTTTACTCTTGCACTCTCTCCTACCTCCACTAACCCTTACACTTGCACACTTCTGCCCCTCAGTTCCTCCTACCCTTCACATATCCTTCCCTACAGTACTGTATGACCCTTTCAGGTTTAGTGCTTAACTTGATTATATTATTTATAATTTACCTGCATCAAGGCACCCCCTTCCAAGGGTTCACAAATACAGCAATATAATTCCAAGGATCCTAGGTAGTAGGTTGGTAGACAGCAATCACCCAGGGAGGTCTACCATCCTGCCGTGTATAAAATGGAAGCCTGTAACTGTTTTACGTGATGGAAGGATTGCTGGTGTCTTTTCTGTCTCATAAACATGCAAGATTTCAGGTATGTCTTGCTACTTCTACTTACACTTAGGTCACACTACACTTGCATGTATACAAGCACATATATACACACACTTCTCTGCATTTTCTTCAATTTCCTTTCTAATTCTTGTTCTTGTTTATTTCCTCATCTCTATGGGGAAGGGGAACAATTCTTTCTCCATAAGCCGTGTCGTAAGAGGCGACTAAAGTGCTGGGAGCAAGGGGCTAGTAACCCCTTCTCATGTATACACTAAAGTTAAACAGAGAAGCTTTCGTTTTTCTTTTTATGTCACCCTGCCTTGTTGGGATATGGCTGGTTAGATGAAAAAAAAAAAATCCAATCATGCAACTTTACAACTAATTTATTATTTTTCTGTACTTAACCCTTAATTATAAATCCAGCCTGTGTATTTTTCTTTATTATTGCATTCATGGGAGAGTGCTAAACCAAAAGGAGTCATATAACACCTTGGGAAATGGGAGGCATTAAGGTTCAGTCCAAAAAAGGAGCAGAGCCCCTCACTGGTATCAGGGAACCTTCCTTTAAGGGATTTTAATTCTTCAAGTTTTAGCTTAAGAGATGCCTGAAATGTTGTAAATTAAATGCAATGCTTTGTAAAAAGTTTATTACGGAAAATTTTCTAAACAAACATTGGAGAAAAATAATTTGTATATTTTCACTGCTTACAAAGGCTGCTCTGTATTGCTGTATATCAGAATAATTAAGTTTTATTAATAAAAGTATGTATCACTTAGTTGAGATTTCTTTATATTAGTTTCACCATTCTTTTTTCTCTAATAAATACCATACATATATTTTACATTTAATAAAAATATTTTAGTATCAGTTTTACTTGTATGTGACACTGGATAGCAAATGTTATTAATTATATATCTCTTGGTGATGCTGCTTTGGTACAACACAAATAGCATTTTCTTATTAGATATACTCCTCACAAAATTGGTATACACATTAAACTAAAACATGACTCACGAAATCGTAATGACACGATTGCAAACAAACCATACCACGGAGGGGGATAGAACCCGCGATTGCGGGTTCTATCCCCGTCCGTGGTATGGTTTATACTAAAACATTCTTGACACTAATGTAACAGTGAAAACAGAGGTGAATCGGAGTGTTAAACTGACAGAATAAGCAGTAGGTTGGCACTTTGTCAGGTAGCAAGTGGCTTCAGTATCAATGATTTTTGCAAAATTCTATCTGTGGATATCAATAATGTTGACATTTTTGGAATGATGAAACCATCATGATTAATTCAAATTTAGATCAGAATACTGAACTGCATACTGAAGTTCTAGTGTACTGTAATGTATGGTTGTACCTGGAGAGTAACTCCATTGAAGTCTCTATTCAACTGAAATTCTATCAAATATTACATAGCAGAACTCCAATTTACAAGGTTTTACACTCAACATTGGCATTTTGGAACCAATTAATTACTCATGAACAATGACTCACTCTTCCAACACTGGGATAACAAATTTCATAAATGCAAATCATAAATATTTTTTTCTTGGTTAGCTTTTTTTTTTTTTTTTTACCAAATGCATTCAAACTATGTTTATTCTTTGCATACGTGGAAACTCATACTTGTTTGGTAAAGACTGGTCAAGAACTAAAGATTCAACATTTATGCTGTATTAGTACATTAGTGATTGACTGAGGGAAAACTGGCAGAGGCTGGTGTTGCAGAGAGGTGGGCAAGTTGGTTGTTAGCACTGAAGGACCCCCCCTTTCCCCCACAATTAACACTGCTAGCTGAGTAGCAGTGTCGTGACATGTTCAGTAAACAGATGGACCAAGACACCACCACACAATGATGACACTCTCCCTCACACTATGCATGTACCTTATTCATACTCACCCTCACCCACCCACTTGCCTACCTACCCACACCACCTATCATTCACACATCGCCCTCACACCAGCACCATCAACTGTTACACAACCCCCCTCTCATCCTCTATTTGTAAATGAAAGGGAACAGTACTGAATGTAACATATTGGATAAACTTTCTTTCTTCTTTCAACGCACCGGACATATCCCACCGAGGCAGGGTGAACATTCATAGGAAAACAGATTAACTGAAATTAGATACGAAACATGGCTTTGGAATGCATAAATTCATTTTACAATGTTTATAGGAAAATAGGTGCAGAGTACCGAACAAATAACTTAGTGAATTACCTGTAATGCATTTACATCATAAGTTGGGAAACTACTGTATAATGTATGTTCATTTAATCTTAGGACTCGACAAAACAATTAAACGAATGTAATTATTCCACCAGTATCTTTAATATCTGCCATCCCAGCAGAAATCATACAAATACTGTACAGACTCCTTAAAGTGATGAATAAAAATCAAGTAAGATGTGCTAGTATTATAAGGAAAAATAATGCAATCATGTTCTGTTGTTATTTAAGAACAGTGTGCTGCATTCATTGCATTTAGAAATTAACACTCAAATAATGCTAAAGTCTTTGGTAATTCACATACAATCAACTGTTATATCTACCAATAAGGCCAAGTCATTGTTAATAATTTTTTTGTCATAAAAGCTTCTCCATAATACTATATACACATAAATTAAAAATTTACCAATGTAAATATAATAAGTTTGCAAACTATACTTACAACTCCCCAAATACATATACTATTAATAATTGATTACAAGTGTACAATAAGAAGACAGGATGATACAAAAGTATAATTACAAATAATAATTAAAATACAAAAAATTTAATCATACTAATCTGAGTGACCTACTTGCTCTCGTCCTGGATGAGGGTCTTGTTTCTGCCACTTTCTTAGGTTTAGAGTTTGATTCTGCATTCCGCTTCTCATGATTAACTCCTCGTGCTGCCCTTGTTGCTCTGGCTTGTTTTGGGACTGTTTTGCTTTTAGAATCAATACATAATTCTATGTCATCACTACCCCTTGAACTGTCATTACTAGAGGTGTCCTTTTCACTAAAATTAATTGTTTTACAAATAGATGATGCTTTGGCTCTACGAACAACCTTACCCTTTTTTTGTGATTTGTCAATATGGGGAATAGAAATATCTGCAAACAAATTATCTGCTTTTGCAGAACCAGGAATATTTTTATTAGGTGTGAGTGGAAAGGCACTTGGGACTTTCAGTACAAGTTTTGTGGGGCTTTCATCCAAATTTAACTTAGAGAAATTAGATGCTACCTCACTTGCATCATCCATTTTCTTTGTGGTACTACCAGCTGTTTTGGTCTTCACAATGAACTTACGAACTTGTTTTTTGACTGGCTTAGCAGGTAATTTTTTATTTGGGGTTGGTGAAGTAATTTTAAGGGGTATTGCTAATTCCTCTGAAATGTCATCATCATCACTGTAGATAATGAATCCTTTTTCTTCAGCCAGAGAAGGACCGGGAATAGTGAGTTCTCGTCGAGCTGATTTAATGCACGAGTTGGTAAGTGCCTTTGGTGGAGCTTTTAATGGAGTCTTCCAATCATTCTTACATTTCTCATGTTCCTCTTGGCTTTCTTCACATACTTCACCTGTAACAAAGTAAAATCTCATTAGGGATGTGTCACAAGCACTTCCCCAAAATAAAACTGCAATCCACATATATTTATGCAAATCCATAATTATTTGCAAAGTTCAGAATTAAATTTATGAATATTTTCAACAAAATTGTTTAAAATACGAGATTAAGACTAGTTACTGTGTATGAGGCTGCCTATACAATAACTGGTGAATAAGTGAAATATTAAAGGTTGAAGCACACCATCAAAATGTTGATTTACTCTTGAAAATAATGCATATTAATAAGTCAACTATTTTCTCTACCATGAGGATAATGTTTAAGCAACCAATTGTCAAATATTAATTAAAATAGTTTTTTTCCATTTGAGAATCCAGTTTTTGAACCAATTATATACCTCTAATCTTTTGACTTATACAGTGGACCCCCGCATAACGATCACCTCCGAATGCGACCAATTATGTAAGTGTATTTATGTAAGTGCGTTTGTACGTGTATGTTTGGGGGTCTGAAATGGACTAATCTACTTCACAATATTCCTTATGGGAACAAATGCAGTCAGTACTGGCACCTGAACATACTTCTGGAGTGAAAAAGTATCGTTAACCGGGGGTCCACTGTACTACCCACAAGATGTCTAAGTGGTGCATAATAAAACTAACTTTTCAAGTGTGCTTTTAATCTATAAAAGCTACTCTTGAAATTTGATAAAGACATACAGGTAATAAGTAATACATATTTTATGAAAAAGAGGATAAATAAATATACAAGGTATGATGTAGCACGTAATGAAAGTAGTTTGTTAGATTATGTATTGGTGGATAAAAGGTTGATGGGTAGGGCTCCAGGATGTACATGTTTATAGGGAGGCAACTGATATATCAGATCATTATTTAGTTGTAGCTACAGTTAGAATAAGAGGTAGATGGGAAAAGAGGAAGGTGGCAACAACAAGTAAGAGGGAGGTGAAAGTGTATAAACTAAGGGAGGAGGAAGTTCGGGCGAGATATAAGCGACTATTGGCAGAAAGGTGGGCTAGTGCAAAGATGAGTAGTGGGGGGGTTGAAGAGGGTTGGAATAATTTTAAAAATGCAGTATTAGAATGTGGGGCAGAAGTTTGTGGTTATAGGAGGGTGGGGGGCAGGAGGAAAGAGGAGTGATTGGTGGAATGATGAAGTAAAGGGTGTGATAAAAGAGAAAAAGGTAGCTTACGAGAGGTTTTTACAAAGCAGAAGTGTTATAAGAAGAGCAGTGTATATGGAGAGTAAAAGAAAGGTGAAGAGAGTGGTGAGAGAGTGCAAAAGGAGAGCAGATGAAAGAATGGGAGAGGCACTGTCAAAAATTTTAATGAAAATAAGAAAAAAGTTTGGAGTGAGTTAAACAAATTAAGAAAGCCTAGGGAAAGTATGGATTTGTCCGTTAAAAACAGAGTAGGGGAGTTAGTAGATGGGGAGAGGGAGGTATTAGGTAGATGGCGAGAATATTTTGAGGAACTTTTAAATGTTGAGGAAGAAAGGGAGGCAGTAATTTCATGCACTGGCCAGGGAGGTATACCATCTTTTAGGAGTGAAGAAGAGCAGAATGTAAGTGTGGTGGAGGTACGTGAGGCATTACGTAGAATGAAAGGGGGTAAAGCAGCTGGAACTGATGGGATCATGACAGAAATGTTAAAAGCAGGGGGGGATATAGTGTTGGAGTGGTTGGTACTTTTGTTTAATAAATGTATGAAAGAGGGGGAAGGTACCTAGGGATTGGCGGAGAGCATGTATAGTCCCTTTATATAAAGGGAAAGGGGACAAAAGAGATTGTAAAAATTATAGAGGAATAAGTTTACTGAGTATACCAGGAAAAGTATACGGTAGAGTTATAATTGAAAGAATTAGAGGTAAGACAGAATGTAGAATTGCGGATGAGCAAGGAGGCTTCAGAGTGGGTAGGGGATGTGTAGATCAAGTGGTTTACATTGAAGCATATATGTGAACAGTATTTAGATAAAGGTAGGGAAGTTTTTATTGCATTTATGGATTTAGAAAAGGCATATGATAGAGTGGATAGAGGAGCAATGTGGCAGATGTTGCAAGTTTATGGAATAGGTGGTAAGTTACTAAATGCTGTAAAGAGCTTTTATGAGGATAGTGAGGCTCAGGTTAGGGTATGTAGAAGAGAGGGAGAATACTTCCCGGTAAAAGTAGGTCTTAGACAGGGATGTGTAATGTCACCATGGTTGTTTAATATATTTATAGATGGGGTTCTAAAAGAAGTAAATGCTAGGGTGTTCGGGAGAGGGGTGGGATTAAATTACGGGGAATCAAATTCAAAATGGGAATTGACACAGTTACTTTTTGCTGATGATACTGTGCTTATGGGAGATTCTAAAGAAAAATTGCAAAGGTTAGTGGATGAGTTTGAGAATGTGTGTAAAGGTAGAAAGTTGAAAGTGAACATAGAAAAGAGTAAGGTGATGAGGGTATCAAATGATTTAGATAAAGAAAAATTGGATATCAAATTGGGGAGGAGGAGTATGGAAGAAGTGAATGTTTTCAGATACTTGGGAGTTGACGTGTCGGTGGATGGATTTATGAAGGATGAGGTTAATCATAGAATTGATGATGGAAAAAAGGTGAGTGGTGTGTTGAGGTATATGTGGAGTCAAAAAACGTTATCTATGGAGGCAAAGAAGGGAATGTATGAAAGTATAGTAGTACCAACACTCTTATATGGATGTGAAGCTTGGGTGGTAAATGCAGCAGCGAGGAGACGGTTGGAGGCAGTGGAGATGTCCTGTCTAAGGGCAATGTGTGGTGTAAATATTATGCAGAAAATTCGGAGTGTGGAAATTAGGAGGTGTGGAGTTAATAAAAGCATTAGTCAGAGGGCAGAAGAGGGGTTGTTGAGGTGGTTTGGTCATTTAGAGAGAATGGATCAAAGTAGAATGACATGGAAAGCATATAAATCTATAGGGGAAGGAAAGAGGGGTAGGGGTCGTCCTCGAAAGGGTTGGAAAGAGGGGGTAAAGGAGGTTTTGTGGGCGAGGGGCTTGGACTTCCAGCAAGCGTGCATGAGCGTGTTAGATAGGAGTGAATGGAGACGAATGATACTTGGGACCTGACGATCTGTTGGAGTGTGAGCAGGGTAATATTTAGTGAAGGGATTCAGGGAAACCGGTTATTTTCTTATAGTCGGACTTGAGTCCTGGAAATGGGAAGTACAATGCCTGCACTTTAAAGGAGGGGTTTGGGATACTGGCAGTTTGGAGGGATATGTTGTGTATCTTTATACGTATATGCTTCTAAACTGTTGTATTCTGAGCACCTCTGCAAAGGCAGTGATAATGTGTGAGTGTGGTGAAAGTGTTGAATGATGATAAAAGTATTTTCTTTTTGGGGATTTTCTTTCTTTTTTTGGGTCACCCTGCCTCGGTGGGAGATGACTAACTTGTTGAAAAAAATAAAAATAAAAAAATACGGTGGAACCTCGGTATACGACCAGTTTCCTACCTGAACAAAGCTGAGCACTCAACCAAACAAATATGACCTGCCAGAACTTAGCTGTAAACTATTTCGTGTTTCTCCACATTTTTTGTATTATTTGTATAATTAAGTCACCATGGGGTCTACGACACATAGGTAGTAGGTTGGTAGACAGCAACCCCCCAGGGAGGTACTACCGTCCTGCCAAGTGAGTGTAAAACGAAACTCTGTAATTGTTTTACATGGTAGGATTGCTGGTGTCCTTTTTTCTGTCTCATGAACATGCAAGATTTCAGGTATGTCTTGCTACTTCTACTTACACTTAGGTCACACTACACATACATGTACAAGCACATATATACACACCCCTCTGGGTTTTCTTCTATTTTCTTTCTAGTTCTTATTCTTGTTTATTTCCTCTTATCTCCATGGGGAAGTGGAACAGAATTCTTCCTCCGTAAGCCATGCATGTTGTAAGAGGCGACTAAAATGCCGAGAGCAAGGGGCTAGTAACCTTTTCTCCTGTATATATTACTTAATGTAAAAGGAGAAACTTTCATTTTCCCTTTTGGGCGACCCCGCCTTGGTGGGATACGGCCGGTGTGTTGAAAGAAAGAAAGGGGCCTACGATGATTAGTGACAACAGCCAACCAAACAGAAAATTGGTTGGGAAGTACTTGTTCAATACTCAAACGGAGGAGCACTCGAACAGCCTTCTGGAATGAATTAATGTCGCATATGGAGGTTCCACCGTACATATTCTCTACTCTTTTCAGAAGACATTTACGTGTTATACAATGGAGAGCTATACCATGTCATATACTCATGCAAAACCAAACTGTGTCCTCCAGAATGCAGCAATGTATTCAGATATTTAGGAGTGGACGTGTCAGCAGATGGGTCTATGAAGGATGAGGTGAATCATAGAATTGATGAGGAGAAAAGGGTGAGTGGTGCACTTAGGAGTCTGTGGAAGCAAAGAGAGGAATGTATGAGAGTACAGTTATACCAACACTCTTATATGGGTGTGAAGCACGGGTGGTGCGTGTTGTAACGAGAAGGCCGGAGGCAGTGGAGATGTCATGTCTGAGGGCAATGGGTGGTGTGAATATAATGCAGAAAATTCGTAGTATGGAAATTAGGAGGAGGTGCGGGATTACCAAAACTATTATCCAGAGGGCTGAGGAGGTTCATACATGTAGAGAGAATGGAACGAAAGAGAATGACTGAGAGTGTATAAATCTGTAGTGGAGGGAAGGCGGGGTAGGGGTTGGCCTAGGAAAAGTTGAAGGGAGGGGGTAAAGCAAGTTTTGTGTTTGAGGGGCTTGGACTTCCAGCAAGCATGCATGAGGGTATTTGATAGGAGTGAATGGAGACAAATGGTTTTTAATACTTGATGTGCTGTTGGAGTGTGAGCAAAGTAACATTTATGAAGGAATTCAGGGAAATCGGCAGGCCAGACTTGAGTCCTGGAGATGGGAAGTACAGTGTCTGCACTCTGAAGGAGGGGTGTTAATGTTGCAGTTTTGTAACTGTAGTTTAAAGCACCCCTCTGGCAAGACAGTGATGGAGTGAATGATGAAAGTTTTTCTTTTTTGGACCACCCTGCCTTGGTGGGAATCGACCGATGTGCTTATAATAAAAATAAATATTTTCCTTCAGGATTACAGCAATGTGCTTTAATATTATATATAGATTTATTTCCAAAAAAACACTATCATATACAAGACTCCTCATTCCCTGCTTCAACATTGTAATATTATATTAACCCTTTTTAAACAGTACTCCACTTGCATTTCTAAACTCTGTTCAACATTAATCTCTTGAATATCAAATCCTATAAAATTCACTAAATTTGACAACTTCCAAATCTTAAAAGACATTTAGCAGGTGTTCTTATAAATGACCTCTAAACTGATAAATTAGACACATGTGCAACTCTTGGGTAGCTTTGAGGAAACGTTTCGCCACACAGTGGCTTCATCAGTCCATACAAAGGAGGAACTTGAAGAACAGGAGGAGAATGAGGTAATCAGTCCCTCAGCCTTGAGTCGATGTGGTCAGTCCATCAATCTTGAATAGATTGATGGACTGACCACATCGACTCAAGGCTGAGGGACTGATTACCTCATTCTCCTCCTGTTCTTCAAGTTTCTCCTTTGTATGGACTGATGAAGCCAGTGTGGCGATATGTTTCCTCAATAAAGCTACCCAAGAGTTGCACATGTGTCTAATTTATCAATGTGTCGGTTTTGTGAACCATTCATCTACAGACCTCTAAACTATTACAGTATGTCATGCTCAATTTGTTTTGTGTTCGTTTTTCATGTACAATACTAACTTGGATTCATTTCTGCTAATTTACATTTTTTTTTTAAAACGTTGGCCACATTCCACCGAGGCAGGGTGACCTAAAAAGAAAGAAAACTTTCATTTTACATTTGTATGAATTGAAAAAGTAATTAAAACTTACCAGCACACTCTATGGTATCAGTCTGTTCTATTGCCCGCTGTAAGGCATGGCCTTGCAAGATAACTACGCTGATGAAGTGCATATCTTGATACAACAGCTAAAAAAAAATGTAAACATGACATATTCAGCACTCTTTTTAGGAAAATATCATCATCCTATTCTCATTTCCCTGGAAATAATGAGAGTACAATATTGTAAGACCAAAAAAAAAGGGTAAAAAAATATTCAACTAAATTGTTTTTATATATACTACTATCACAGGAAACTAGTACAACTACATTAACAAAATGTGTAACAATATACTGGCTATTTCAAAGACTAGGCATACAGTACTATTAGGTTAACTTCTAGAAACAAAAAACATTATTCTTATCCTATTCTCACTGAAACTGCTTCTTATCATGTTCATTTTTAGTTTTACGTACTATATTCACATTAATACCATATTTGCTCAAACTAGAAATTTCTGCCCATTTTCTCTGCCTGCCTTTTGCCCTCTTATCCTCAAATTCACTTTAAACACATTCACCATCATTTATTCAATAGCCGTCTTGCCAGAAGTGTGCAGATATCACAATTCAGATGGCCCTCCTCCCAAAACATGCCCACCCTGCCATCATAGTGTTGGCAATGTGCTACCCACCTCCAGGACTCAAATCCAGCTAATCAAGCTCAATGGATCCCATTATTAATACTACTGTGTTCTCACTAATGCCACATCAAACCCTAAACACTAATCTCCATTCATGACAATGTAACATGCTTATACATGTTTGCAAGATACATAAGCACCTACCCTCTGGAACCTCCTTCACTCTAACCCTTCCTAAGATGAATGACTCCCATGACTCATTCCCTTCACCTCAGATTTATACATTCTCTTTGCCATCCTATTCTGCTCTGTCCCTTCCAAGTTGTTAAACCACCTAACAACTCATTTCCACATTGAATTGAGAGAGTGGCAGGAAAATTAAAAACTCTAGATACTGTAAGTGGTTCCAGCTTTGCAGAATTTTAATGTTTTTGGCAATCTTCAGCCTCAGCCTTCTAAATGTAGTTTTCAGAATTTATTACAGCATATTAAAAAATTCTATTGAAAAGCACCTGTTGTATGTTAATATCTAAACAGAGATATCAGTAAAATGCTTAAATTTCATACATTCCTAGAAACTACACTGATAGTCCTGCTTTAAATACAGTCAATTACATACTTGTTTAATAACATCATGCAAAAAGCACCATAAAAAATAAATACACAAGGAGCTACTGAATCAATGACCTTAGGCTCTTGTAGGCACAAATCTTGAAGTAGTTGCAGATTGACACTGAATGCTTGCTGATATTTCTTTTCTAAGGCCAGACAATCTGCCTTTGCATGTAACATTCGAAGGTGTACCTGTGTATATACATAAATAAGAGCAAGTTAGGTAATAGTTGACCAAACTACCCTTCTTTAAATAACATGAAAAAGTTAATATTCATTTATAGCTCCTGATTACAATGACATGATGTTTATGGTTTTTTAACCCTTTGACTGTCGCGGCCGTATATATACGTTTTACGAGGTGCCGTGTTTGACGTATATATACTCATAAATTCTAGCGGCTTCAAATCAAGCAGGAGAAAGCTGGTAGGCCCACATGTGAGAGAATGGGTCTGTGTGGTCAGTGTGCACCATATAAAAAAAATCCTGGAGCACGCAGTGCATAATGAGAAAAAAAAAAACTCCGACCGTTTTTTTTAATTAAAATGCCGACTTTGTGGTCTATTTTCGTATAGTATTTATGGTTGTGTTCTCGTTTTCTTGGTCTCATTTGATAGAATGGAAAACATATTACAGAAATAGAGGTGATTTTGATTGATTTTACTATAAAAAGAACCTAGAAATGGAGCTCAAAATAGGGGAAATGTTTGATTTTTGCCAATGTTCAAAAGTAAATAAATGATGCCATTGTCCAATAAATGTCCAACTAGCCATTCTAATATGCAGTCATGAATGGGTTGATGTTATTTATACAGTTATTACAGCATTGCAGTAGTCTGCATAATAGTAAGTCTAATATTTTTTGTTTGAATAAAAATTCAAAATAGAAAGCAAGAGTAATATCAGAAGGGCCTGGAGACGTGACTGATGAACAAAGAAAACGTTATTTTAGAGCCAGGAATGTCTGCATTGTTCATTCTGGACCTTATTTTGAAATTGTCATATTTTTTAGTTTTCGTGAAATTGGCCAAATTGCAAATTTCTGACCACATTATTAGGTAGTTGAAATCAGTAAATGGGCAGTTTCTTGTATTCAATCGATAGAAAAAATGAAGTTCTAAAGAAATAGCTATGAGTTTGGGTGACTGGAACAATGGAATTAGCCGAAAATAGGGCTCAAAGTGGGCGAAATCGCCGATTTGTAAACAGCGCCGAGGTCGCTAACTTCGCGAGAGCATAATTCCGTCAGTTTTCCATCAAATTTCGTTTTTTTGGTGTCATTACAATCGGGAAAAGATTCTCTATCATTTCATAAGAAAAAATAATTTTTTTTTTAAATTTTGCGACACCAGGAGACACCTCAGGATTGGGGGTTGCGACAGTCAAAGGGTTAAGATACTATTTGAAATAATACAACTATCAAGAATGGGAAAGAGAATGAGAAAGGGGAAATTTTTTCAAATTAAGAAATGTTATATGGTGCAGACCAAGAAAAATCTGTTAATTTTACAACTTTCAGAATAAGCCAATAATTATTGAAATCAAAAAGTGTAACTGATACCAGTGATTTCTTTCTTTCTTTCTTTCAACACACCAGCCGTATCCCACCGAGGTGGGGTGGCCCAAAAGGAAAAACGAAAGTTTCTCCTTTTACATTTAGTAATATATACAGGAGAAGGGGTTACTAGCCCCTTGCTCCTGGCATTTTAGTCGCCTCTTACAACACACATGGCTTACAGAGGAAGAATTCTGTTCCACTTCCCCATGGAGGTAAGAGGAAATAAACAAGAACAAGAACTAGTAAGAAAATAGAAGAAAACCCAGAGGGGTGTGTATATATATGCTTGTACATGGTAGTAGGTTGGTAGACAGCAACCACCCAGGGAGGTACTACCGTCCTGCCAAGTGAGTGTAAAACGAAAGCCTGTAATTGTTTTACATGATGGTAGGATTGCTGGTGTCTTTTGTCTGTCTCATAAATATGCAAGATTACAGGTACGTCTTGCTACTTCTACTTACACTTAGGTCACACTACACATACATGTACACGTTTATTTATACACACTCATCTGAGTTTTCTTTGATTTTATCTTAATAGTTCTTGGTCTTATTACTTTTCCTTTTATATCCATGGGGAACTGGAATAAGAATCTTTCCTCCGTAAGCCATGCGTGTTGTAAAAGTCAACTAAAATGCCGGGAACAATTGGCTAGTAACCCCTTTTCCTGTAAAGATTACTAAAAAGAATAAGAAGAAGAAAATTGTCAAAGTGGGAAGTCTGAATGTGCGTGGATGTTGTGCAAATAATAAGAAAGAGATGATTGTGGATGTTATGAATGAGAAGAAACTGGATGTCCTGGCTTTAAGTGAAACAAAGCTGAAGGGGGTGGGAGAGTTTCAATGGAGAGGAATAAATGGGATTAGGTCAGGGGTTTCAAATAGAGTTAGAGCTAAAGAAGGAGTAGCAATAATGTTGAAGGATAAGCTATGGCAGGAAAAGAGGGACTACAAATGTATAAATTCAAGGATTATGTGGAGTAAATAAAGATTGGATGTGAAAAGTGGGTTATAGTAAGCGTGTATGCACCTGGAGAAGAGAGAAGTGTAGAGGAGAGAGAGAGATTCTGGGAAATGTTGAGTGAATGCGTGGGGAGTTTTGAATCAAGTGTGAGAGTAATGGTGGTTGGGGATTTCAATGCTAAAGTGGGTAAAAATGTTATGGAGGGAGTAGTAGGTAAATTTGGGGTGCCAGGGTAAATGTAAATGGGGAGCCTTTAATTGAGCTATGTGTAGAAAGAAATTTGGTAATAAGTAATACATATTTTATGAAAAAGAGGATAAATAAATATACAAGGTATGATGTAGCACGTAATGAAAGTAGTTTGTTAGATTATGTATTGGTGGATAAAAGGTTGATGGGTAGGCTCCAGGATGTACATGTTTATAGAGGGGCAACTGATATATCGGATCATTATTTAGTTGTAGCTACAGTTAGAGTAAGAGGTAGATGGGAAAAGAGGAAGGTGGCAACAACAAGTAAGAGGGAGGTGAAAGTGTATAAACTAAGGGAGGAGGAAGTTCGGGCGAGATATAAGAGACTATTGGCAGAAAGGTGGGCTAGTGCAAAGATGAGTAGTGGGGGGGTTGAAGAGGGTTGGAATAATTTTAAAAATGCAGTATTAGAATGTGGGGCAGAAGTTTGTGGTTATAGGAGGGTGGGGGCAGGAGGAAAGAGGAGTGATTGGTGGAATGATGAAGTAAAGGGTGTGATAAAAGAGAAAAAGGTAGCTTACGAGAGGTTTTTACAAAGCAGAAGTGTTATAAGAAGAGCAGAGTATATGGAGAGTAAAAGAAAGGTGAAGAGAGTGGTGTGAGAATTTGCAAAAGGAGAGCAGATGAAAGAGTGGGAGAGGCACTGTCAAGAAATTTTAATGAAAATAAGAAAAAATTTTGGAGTGAGTTAAACAAGTTAAGAAAGCCTAGGGAAAGTATGGATTTGTCAGTTAAAAACAGAGTAGGGGAGTTAGTAGATGGGGAGAGGGAGGTATTAGGTAGATGGCGAGAATATTTTGAGGAACTTTTAAATGTTAAGGAAGAAAGGGAGGCGGTAATTTCATGCACTGGCCAGGGAGGTATACCATCTTTTAGGAGTGAAGAAGAGCAGAATGTAAGTGTGGTGGAGGTACGTGAGGCATTACGTAGAATGAAAGGGGGTAAAGCAGCTGGAACTGATGGGATCATGACAGAAATGTTAAAAGCAGGGGGGATATAATGTTGGAGTGGTTGGTACTTTTGTTTAATAAATGTATGAAAGAGGGGAAGGTACCTAGGGATTGGCGGAGAGCATGTATAGTCCCTTTATATAAAGGGAAAGGGGACAAAAGAGATTGTAAAAATTATAGAGGAATAAGTTTACTGAGTATACCAGGAAAAGCATACGGTAGGGTTATAATTGAAAGAATTAGAGGTAAGACAGAATGTAGAATTGCGGACGAGCAAGGAGGCTTCACAGTGGGTAGGGGATGTGTAGATCAAGTGTTTACATTGAAGCATACATGTGAACAGTATTTAGATAAAGGTAGGGAAGTTTTTATTGCATTTATGGATTTAGAAAAGGCATATGATAGAGTGGATAGAGGAGCAATGTGGCAGATGTTGCAAGTATATGGAATAGGTGGTAAGTTACTAAATGCTGTAAAGAGCTTTTATGAGGATAGTGAGGCTCAGGTTAGGGTGTGTAGAAGAGAGGGAGAATACTTCCCGGTAAAAGTAGGTCTTAGACAGGGATGTGTAATGTCACCATGGTTGTTTAATATATTTATAGATGGGGTTGTAAAAGAAGTAAATGCTAGGGTGTTCGGGAGAGGGGTGGGATTAAATTATGGGGAATCAAATTCAAAATGGGAATTGACACAGTTACTTTTTGCTGATGATACTGTGCTTATGGGAGATTCTAAAGAAAAATTGCAAAGGTTAGTGGATGAGTTTGAGAATGTGTGTAAAGGTAGAAAGTTGAAAGTGAACATAGAAAAGAGTAAGGTGATGAGGGTATCAAATGATTTAGATAAAGAAAAATTGGATATCAAATTGGGGAGGAGGAGTATGGAAGAAGTGAATGTTTTCAGATACTTGGGAGTTGACGTGTCGGCGGATGGATTTATGAAGGATGAGGTTAATCATAGAATTGATGAGGGAAAAAAGGTGAGTGGTACGTTGAGGTATATGTGGAGTCAAAAAACGTTATCTATGGAGACAAAGAAGGGAATGTATGAAAGTATAGTAGTACCAACACTCTTATATGGATGTGAAGCTTGGGTGGTAAATGCAGCAGCGAGGAGACGGTTGGAGGCAGTGGAGATGTCCTGTCTAAGGGCAATGTGTGGTGTAAATATTATGCAGAAAATTCGGAGTGTGGAAATTAGGAGGTGTGGAGTTAATAAAAGCATTAGTCAGAGGGCAGAAGAGGGGTTGTTGAGGTGGTTTGGTCATTTAGAGAGAATGGATCAAAGTAGAATGACATGGAAAGCATATAAATCTATAGGGGAAGGAAAGAGGGTAGGGGTCGTCCTCGAAAGGGTTGGAAAGAGGGGGTAAAGGAGGTTTTGTGGGCGAGGGGCTTGGACTTCCAGCAAGCGTGCATGAGCGTGTTAGATAGGAGTGAATGGAGACGAATGATACTTGGGACCTGACGATCTGTTGGAGTGTGAGCAGGGTAATATTTAGTGAAGGGATTCAGGGAAACCGGTTATTTTCATATAGTCGGACTTGAGTCCTGGAAATGGGAAGTACAATGCCTGCACTTTAAAGGAGGGGTTTGGGATATTGGCAGTTTGGAGGGATATGTTGTGTATCTTTATACGTATATGCTTCTAAGCTGTTGTATTCTGAGCACCTCTGCAAAAGCAGTGATAATGTGTGAGTGTGGTGAAAGTGTTGAATGATGATGAAAGTATTTTCTTTTTGGGGATTTTCTTTCTTTTTTGGGTCACCCTGCCTCGGTGGGAGACGACCGACTTGTTGAAAAAAAAAAAAAAAAAAAAAAAAAAAAAAAAAATGTATGTGTAGTGTGACCTAAGTGTAAGTAGAAGAGCAAGACATACCTGAAACCTTGCATGTTTATGAGACAGAAAAATGGACACCAGCAATCCTACCATCATGTAAAACAATTACAGGCTTTCGTTTTACACTCACTTGGCAGGATGGTAGTACCTCCCTGGGCGGTTGCTGTCTACCAACCTACTACCTAGGACCAGTGATTTGTCAGTGGTTAAATGTACACCACCTATAATGTAGACTAACTGATTGAGTTAATATCAGAACAAGCTTTTCATTCAGTACAAAAGTCTTTAGTATACACTGTGCCCAGTTCCAGACCCTCACCCACACCATTTTCCCATGACCTCACACCATACTCAATTTTTCACCATAACACACCGTCTACACACCAAGTCAGGTAGCCACCCACCACTCTCATTATTGCACACTCGCCCACCCAATCACCTATCTTCCACACCACCACCCACTGTGGGCTTCTGACAACTCTACCATTCACCCACAGCACCTCCCCATAGGTTCAAGACTACATGGCCTCCCACCCACACCCCTCCCCTACAACTTAGAGCCACACAGTCCCACTTCCACACCTTACCCATGCTTTCACAGTCCACATACACCAACATCATGTCCACACACCTAGTCATGTACCCACCCACCACTCTCATTACTGCCCACATCACCAATCATATCCATGCAGCCACCTATTATCCGCACCACCCACACTACTACCATCACACCACCTTGTTGTTTCCAGCTTCTACCCTCTCCCTCCCCTCCCTTCTACTTCCCAGCATACTCCACTTCCCAATACCAGCTTCCAGCTCCTGCTCCCACACCTCCAGTGCTCAGTTTCCACCTCCCATGCAAGCAGTTCCCAATTCTCACCTCCATTAAACCCCCTCACCCCAACCACTTTAATCCCTCCTGTGTATGTCCCAACCATTCTATCCTCTCCTTTATAACCCCCATACAGTTGGAACGAGTGGAACTGAACAATAAGGCACCTCCATTTACTAGCAGAGATGTGGATACAGGATCTTTGACTGACACACATCACCAATTTTAGGATTGTAACTACAGTATTAACTGACAGTCAAGTGTATATTCTATTTACCCTATTACATTATTATGTAAATTCGATGAAATACTGACTACAACATAAAAAAAGGGGATAAAATGATTTACGAATCTTATTTATTATATGCCAAAACCATTGAGTAAATACAAATCACTTCTCATACATACACAGAACATAACTCTTTCTTACCATATTTAGTCTTGACATAACATAGTCAGAGGATGTGGCCATTTGTCCCTTAGGTTTCTTCTCTATAAGAAAAGTGAGGTGGCTGGAGATTTGGGATGCCTTCTCAACGGCAACATTATACATAGCCATGGCCTGTAAATTTGCAATAACAAGAAATTGTGTACTGATATTAATAACTACGAATAACAAGATGAATATAAAAAAAATAAGCACAAGACAAATAAGAAAAAACTACACGAGAAGAGTAAGGAAGAAATAAGAGAAAAGAGGAGAAAGAATAATGAAGTAAAGCTAAAGACGAAAATAACAATATGGTAATAATCTGGGATTTTGTTATTCTTGAGCACTTTTTCATTCAAGAAAATCACAAGCACTTGCACATCAAGCCATAAAGGCAACAACGAAGAAGAAAAATTACAAGTTATATTCATAAATGATAATATGATTATCAGCTTTGTAAGCTCTAGAAAAGATATATACTTTCAACTGAGATGCTGGCAACCTGTTGAACAATCTAGGAGTTGCAGAAGAAAGTTTTTTCTGTGAATTGTTTCTCCCCAAGGAGGCTCAATCAAGCAAAAAGGGTCTGAAGCAATTCACAAACGTTCTTGAGTCTGATGTAATAGGTGCAAGCGGTGCCTCATGGCCTGGTGACAAAAGCTCTCTCTTCACAGGGTGAGGGTCTGGGTTCGATTCCCGGCGAAGGGGTGGAAACATTGGATGCATTTCCTTACACTGGTTGGCTATGTACAATGGGTACCTGGGTGTTAGTCGACTGTTGAGAGTCACACCCTGAGACAAAACTGACGTAATTTGTCCGAAATGCTCAGCATAACAAGCAGCTTTCTATATAGTAGTACAGTATGTCATTGATATCAGCTAGGCCAATATACCTTGTGTACATGTACTTGTATTATTAGCAAGAAACTTGGGTTTATTAGCCTATTTTTTAAACCCAACAACTCTCTCCCTAGGGCAGGGTGACTCAAAGAGAACACATTCACCATCATTTATTCCATCGCCATCTTTCCAGAAGTGTGCTGATATCACAATCAGGTTACCCTCTGACTAACATCCCCATCCCTTCTTCAGAGTGAAGAGTGCAGGCACTGCCCAGCCCCACCTCCAGGACTTAAGTTCTGCTAATAGATTTCCCTGAATCCCTTCATAAGTTCTGGTGTCTGTTTTCTCTCTCTTATTAACATGCAAGATTTCAGGAACATCTTGCTACTTCTACTTACACTTAGGTCACACTACACATGCAAGTACAAGCATATATATACACACCCCTCTGGGTTTTCTTCTATTTTCTTATTAGTTCTTGTTTTGTTGATCTCCTCTTATCTCCATGGGGAAGTGGAACAGAATTCTTCCCCGTAAACCATTTGTGTCGTAAGAGGTGACTGAAATGCTGAGAGCAAAGGGCTAGTAACCCCTTCCCCTGTATACATTACTATAGTTAAAAAGAGAAACTTTTGTTTTTCTTTCTTTCTGGGCCACCCTGCCTTGGTAGGAAATGGCCAATTTGTTGAAAAAGAAATAATAATAATACAGTGGTACCTTGAGTTATGAACTTATGTAATTCGTTCCAGAAGGCTGTTCAAGTGCCGATACTGAATGAATTTGATCCCATAGGGAACAATGTAAATTAGATCAGTCTGTTTCAGACCCCCAAAAATACACTTGCAAAATTGTTCGAGTTGGGAGCTGTTTGAAACTCAACGTACCACTGATGATACTGTGTTTATGGGAGATTCTAAAGAAAAATTGCAAAGGTTAGTGGATGAGTTTGGGAGTGAGTGTAAAGGTAAAAAGTTGAAAGTGAACATAGAAAAGAGTAAGGTGATGAGGGTATCAAATGATTTAGATAAAGAAAAATTGGGTATCAAATTGGGGAGGAGGAGTATGGAAGAAGTGAATGTTTTCAGACACTTGGGAGTTGACGTGTCAGCGGATGGATTTATGAAGGATGAGGTTAATCATAGAATTGATGAGGGAAAAAAGGTGAGTGGTGCGTTGAGGTATATGTGGAGACAAAAAACGTTATCTATGGAGGCAAAGAAGGTAATGTATGAAAGTATAGTAGTACCAACACTCTTATATGGGTGTGAAGCTTGGGTGGTAAATGCAGCAGCGAGGAGACGGTTGGAGGCAGTGGAGATGTCCTGTCTAAGGGCAATGTGTGGTGTAAATATTATGCAGAAAATTTGGAGTGTGGAAATTAGGAGAAGGTGTGGAGTTAATAAAAGTATTAGTCAGAGGGCTGAAGAGGGGTTGTTGAGGTGGTTTGGTCATTTAGAGAGAATGGATCAAAGTAGAATGACATGGAGAGTGTATAAATCTGTAGGGGAAGGAAGGCGGGGGTCATCCTCGAAAAGGTTAGAGGGGGGGGGGTAAAGGAGGTTTTGTGGGCGAGGTGGTTGGACTTCCAGCAAGCGTGTGTGAGCGTGTTAGATAGGAGTGAATGGAGACGAATGGTATCTGGGACCTGACGATCTGTTGGAGTGTGAGCAGGGTAATATTTAGTGAAGGGATTCAGGGAAACTGGTTATTTTTATATAGCCGGACTTGAGTCCTGGAAATGGGAAGTACAATGCCTGCACTCTAAAGGAGGGGTTCGGGATATTAGCAGTTTGGAGGGATATGTTGTGTATCTTTATAGGCATATGCTTCTAAGCTGTTGTGTTCTGAGCACCTCTGCAAAAACAGTGATTATGCGTGAGTGAGGTGAAAGTGTTGAATGACGATGAAAGTATTTTCTTTTTGGGGATTTTCTTTCTTTTTTGGGTCACCCTGCCTCGGTGGGAGACGGCCGACTTGTTAAAAAAAAAAAAAAAAAAAAGTTACGTATCGTATTTACTATATAATTTTGAAAAAATATAGATGGATTAATGAAAATGTGTATATTAATGTAATATACATTTAATTAGACTCAGTGATTATTAAGTACAGTGGACCCTCGACCAACGATGGCATCGTATAATGTTAAATCCGACTAGTGATACATTTTAATGCAAAAATTTTGCCTTGATTAGCGCTAAAAAACTCGACCAACGAGATTCGTTCCGTTCGAGACGCATCCACGTGTGGCCTGCGCAGTGTTTACAAGCCAGCCACCGCAGTCGCATCCAAACATACAATCAGAACATTTCATATTATCACAGCGTTTTTAGTGATTGCACCTGCAAAGTAAGTCACCATGGGTCCTAAGAAAGCTTCTAGTGCCATCCCTGTGATAAAAAGGGTGAGAATTAGTATGGAAATTAAGAAAGATTTGAAGGGTTTGGGGCTAACCCTGAGACGCCTATGCCAGTTGTGGAATCCATTTTGCCTACTTCAAAGATTAAGGAAATGTGTGCAAAGTGGGTTGAACTGCAAACCTTTATGGATGAAAATCACCCTAACACAGCTATTGCAAGCTGTGCTGGTGACTATTGCAATGACAATGTTGTGGCCCATTTTAGACAAATCTTAAAGGAACGGGAGGTACAGAGCTCTATGGACAGATATGTTGTGCGACAGAGGTCCAGTGACTCTCAAGCTGGTCCTAGTGGCATTAAAAGAAGAAGGGAAGTAACCCCAGAAAAGGACTTGACACCTCAAGTCCTAATGGAAGGGGATTCCCCTTCTAAACACTAACACCATCCACACACTCCCCTCCTCCCATCCCATCAATCATCACCAGATCTTCAATAAAGGTAAGTGTCATGTAATTGTACATGTCTTCTTCAGTCTGTGTGTATTAAAATTAATATTTCATGTGGTAAAATTTTTTTTTTCAATACTTAGGGGCGTCAGGAACGGATTAATTTGATTTCCATTATTTCTTATGGGGAAAATTAACTCGACTTACGATAATTTCGACTAATGATGAGCTCTCAGGAACGGATTAATATCGTTGGTTGAGCGTCCACTGTATTATTATTATCATAACTAATATGGTGTCTCAAAACATAAGACACTCTTACTGATGTGTACTTGCATGCCAGCACAGTGTGTAAGTATATTTAGGTACAGTATACGTGATTATCATTATCAAAGTATATACAAAATATGAAATAACTTTAAAAAAAAAAAATTGAAATTTTGGAAAGTTTCCAGACATAATGGAGAGACGCAATGCTCAAGGATCCTTGCTCACGGAGAATGCAAACAAACGGGGTGGGGTGCAGTGACCGTATTAGAAAGTCAAGCGGGGGGAGCCATATAGCGAGTTTTGATCATAAATTGAAATACCCATATCAGCGGAACACCATAAAGCGAAATGCCGTAAAGAGGGGCCCTACCATACTAAAAAAATATTCAATAGCTACATTAACCTCTTGACTGCTGCAACCCCCAATCCTGAGGTATCTCCTGGTGTCGCAAAAAAAAAAAAAAAAAAAATAGATAATTTTTTCCCGAATGTAATGACACCAAAAGAACGAAATTTGATGGAAAACTGACGGAATTACACTCTTGCGAATTTAGCGACCTCAGCGATATTTACAAATCGGCAATTTCGCCCACTTTGAGCCCTATTTTCGGCTAATTCCTTTGTTCCAGTCGACCAAACTCATAGCTATTTCTTTAGAACTCCATTTTTTTTTATTGTTTGAGTAGAAGAAACTGCCCATTTACCAATTTCAACTACCCAATAATGTGGTCAGAAATTTGCAATTTGGCTAATTTCACAAAAATTAAAAAATATGACAATGTCAAAATAAGGTCCAGAATGAACAATGCAGACATTCCTGGCTCTAAAATAAAATTTTCTTTGTTCATAAGTCACGTCTCCAGGCCCCTCTGATATTACTTCTGCTTTTTATTTTGAACTTTTATTCAAACAAAAATAGATTTACTGTCATGCAGACTACTGCAATACTGTAATAATTGTACAAATAATGTCAACCCATTCATGACTGCATATTAGAATGGCTAGTTGGACATTTATTGGACAATGACATCATTTGTTTACTTTTGAACATTGGCAAAAATCAAACATTTCCCCTACTTTGAGCTTCATTTCAAGGCTCTTTTTATAGTAAAACCAATCAAAATCACATCTATTTCTATAATATGTTTTCCATTCTATCAAATGAGACCAAGAAAACAAGAATACAACCATAAATACTATACGAAAATAGACCACAAAGTTGGCATTTTAATAAAAAAAAAAAAAAAAAAAAAAAAACGGTCAGAGTTTGTTTTTTTTCTCATGCACTGCATGCTCCAGGATTTTTTTTTATATGGTGCACATTGACCACACAGACCCATTATAATAATATCTTTATTTACTACAAGTACATGTTATACAGGCCTAGCTGACAACAATGATATACTACTACATAGAAAGCCCCTTGTTATGTTCCGCATGTCGGGCAAATTAGGTCAGTGTCCCAGGATGTGGCCCGCACCAGTCGACTAACACCCAGGTACCCATTTTGCTGATGGGAAACATAGACAACAGGTGGAAAGAAACATGCCCAATGTTTCTACTCTGGCTGAGAATCTAACCCAGGCCCTCGCCGTGTGAAGTGAGAGCGTTAACCACCAGAGCCCCTCTCTCACATGTGGGCCTACCAGAGCTTTCTCCTGCTTGATTTGAAGCCGCTAGAATTTATAAGTATATATACGTCAAACACGGTACCTCGTAAGACGTACATATACGACCGAAACAGTCCTATTTTTCCTATTTTTTCATGTATTTTCTGTCTGGAGACATTCAAAATATATTTCTAGCTTTTTAACATTGTCAAGATCTCATTCCTATCATTTAAACATTTAAATTGCAAGTAACATGAGTGGATACCTCTCAACCTTATTTTTTTTTTTTTTTTTTTTTTCAACAAGTCGGCCGTCTCCCACCGAGGCAGGGTGACCCAAAAAAGAAAGAAAATCCCCAAAAAGAAAATACTTTCATCATCATTCAACACTTTCACCACACTCGCACATTATCACTGTTTTTGCAGAGGTGCTCAGAATACAACAGTCTAGAAGCATAAACATATAAAGATACACAACATATCCCTCCAAACTGCCAATATCCCAAACCCCTCCTTTAAAGTGCAGGCATTGTACTTCCCATTTCCAGGACTCAAGTCCGACTATATGAAAATAACCGGTTTCCCTGAATCCCTTCACTAAATATTACCCTGCTCACACTCCAACAGATCGTCAGGTCCCAAGTACCATTCGTCTCCATTCACTCCTATCTAACACGCTCACGCACGCTTGCTGGAAGTCCAGTTATTTTTAATTATAAAAAAAAAAATGTTATATCATACAGTACCAACCTTATTTAGACATTTTTCTGCAGCAAGATGGTATCCTGCATGTGAGTGCAGAAGTGCTAACAACACTGCTGTTGATATATGTAGTTGCTGAACAGTAGGTGTGGTGCATACAACACAGTCCACAATTCCCCGAGGACAAGGTTCAAAGTGAGCTATCGTGGCCTCCTCTCTGTACTTCATCGATGGAGAAGCTGGGTGTTGAGGGTTTATTAACTGGCTGATGCGTCCCTCTGGTCCTATGACAACTAGAGCTGGATTGTCAGTTAATGATTTTAAATCATATTCTGAAACTCCACTACCAGTACGCATCCTTTCTTCATCGTCCAATACTGAATCGACAGACTTTTTATAGAGTTGCTTAGTTTTTTTCATTTCAGATGTGCAGTGAGAAATAGTCATTTTAGAGAAATCAGGTGTTATTGTTTCTAAACTTTGTTGGTGTGATGAATGTGCTACAGTAAGAGACTGTAGACTGTCCACCTTTACCCTGCAGTCTTCAAGCTGGTCACAAAGAAGATCCACTTGTGCTAATAATTCCAGTAATTCTGCAGTTCTGGAAATTAAACTCATTAAGCTCATTCATAAAAATGATATAACATCATTATGCACAGAGGAAAATATTTAAAAAATATTTGCAATTGGAGTACAGTAAATGGACATAAAGAGTAGCTTAATAAAGTTCTCCATCAGTCTACTAAACTTTGCTAATTACTAATGTACTCCTTAACAATAGCCTCTTTTAATTAGTTATTTTATTTTACCATGTACACCTTTACCTACCACGAGAGGGTGATGCTAAGACCCAAAAGGAACAACATCCTCCCTCCCTAGCAGTCTTTAAAGAAATGCATGAAAATCATGACCCAAATGACCCACAACACCCTCACTCGCCTTCAGAACTAGACTGACTAACCGTTTATTGATTCCCTTCAAAGCACTGTGTAACATTTTGATGATAAATTACTTTGATATGAATAAACTGCCTGTTTAACCTCTAACATTAAGTCTTTTAAACAAGTTTTCTGCCTAGTATGTCATCTTGCTTACCTTCTCTTACACACATGTACACTCACACTCCCTGTAATATCAGCATCAGACAATGTTCACACTCTCAGAATCATTCAATACGTGCTGAGGCACACTACACCTAATCTCCATGTTCCAAATTGTCTGCATAATATTTATACCACATTTCCCCCTCATACATTTTGTGGCTCCAACCTTCTCTTCACTGCCATGCAACAATGCTGGTACCACTATACTCTAGTGCTGGTACATACCTCTCTTTTGCCTCCAGGGATAGTTCTTTGTCTTGAGAGGTCTCAACACTCCACCCAAAATTTTTTCACCCTCATTTATTCTATGGTTCACCTTGTCTTTCATAAATCATTCATTAGTACGTTTAATGATCTATTAATTAACACCAAGAAATAGCTAATAAAACTTAGAAATGTCTCAAGTCACTATTTTAACCCTATTACAAGGTCAGAGATGAGCTGTTCCCAACATATACTACATGGGGCAGAAATGGTTTTTGTATTGTGCATACCCATTGCACACTCATTCTCTCATGTAAAGGCTAACATTCACTAATCATAGTATATTTGAGGGAACTTTGTTCAAGACATATTTACATAAAGAGCACTCCTTAATTATGTGAGACAGTTAAAGGGCTTAACATTCGTAATTTAGTAACCAAAAATACAAAAGAAATATATCTTCTTTGATTCATCTTGCATAGAGGTTAAAAAAATCTAAGTTAACCCTTAAACTGTCCAAACATAGATCTACATTCACGTGCGTAGCGCTCTGACTTTGATTTTCCCCATTTGAAAGCATGTTAAAAAAACGTTCGGAGCCTGCCGCACGTCAACATATATCTACGTTTGGACAGTTTAAGGGTTAAATATCACTTGTGTTAACAGAAACGTAATACTGAAAATATAAGCAAGCACCCTTTTCCTAACCTGAGAGGAAGAGCCAGCCGCTGAGCGAGCCCTAGAGACTGCTTGAGGTAGGCTCTTGCTAAGCGAGGCTGTGCTGAAGTTAGACAAAGTTTCCCTAGCCACATAGCTGTTGTTAGATGGAGCCACACCAAACGATGTCTCCAACATATCACATCTGTTGAGAAATATTGTTTTAGAAATGCTGCTGGACAGCAAGGTAATTTTTATGAAAGGTTTCGAGGAAACCAGTTAGCTGGCAACTTGAGTCACAAAAGTGGTAAAAGCAGTGCCTTCACTCTGGAGGGATGAGGCTGTTGCAGTTGGAAGTTAAGCCTTATTGTCATGTCAGCACACTTTTGGAAAGATGGCAATTGAATGACTGATGGTGAATGTTTTCTTCTTGAGGGTCACTGCCTTGATGGGGGATGGCTGACGTGTTAAAATAAAATGTGCACACTAACATTTACCACAAAGGCAAAGTCAATGCCACTGAACTTAGAAATACACTCATGTTAGGCTATGCCTGGAAAGTTAGTGATTATTTTACTACAGCACCCATAGATATAAAATTCACATTCTTAATCATGAGCATGAAAGAAAAAGGAATAAAGATATGACCTCTGGCATTGCACTACCAAAAACCAATCCTGGGGCAGTATTATATAATTTATTATAAAAATAGCACAGGATGATAAAACTGAGAATAAATTACATAGATGCCAACAGCTTAACAACAGTGAGTCAAAATATTTAAGAAAAGTATATTATGCATCATAACAAAGAGGAACATCAATCTGCATGGTTAAAAATGTCTCATTTAAGAGACATTTAAAAGAATTTATGTAAATCCATCACCTTTGGTGATGGATTTACATAAATCTGTTTACCCGAATTTATGTAAATCCATCACCTTTGGTGATGGATTTACATAAATTCAGGTAAACAGATATAATATTAATCCCAAAACTTTCTAGAAAGATCAATTTGTTCTCGAACAGCAATACAAAATATTTAAATGTATATCTTTCACAGCAGGGTAGCATTTTGTGAAGGGATTCGGGAAAACTGGTTAGATGGATTTGAGTCCTGGAGATGGAAAGTGCAGTGCCAGAACTGTGAAGGAAGGATGGGGATATTTGCATTTTGGATGGTCATCTAAACTGTAGTATCTGCATGCCTCTGGCAAGACAGTGATAAGAGTGAATAATACTGAAAGTACACCTACCATCCGACTTACGACCTGCTCGACTTACGACCACTCAACTTACGACCGTGTTTTTTATTCCAAATTTCTGGGAAATAAACAACTATTTGTGTTGTATACAGTGTTTATCCTAAACCTTACAGTATAAAATACAGTACTAACAACATAAAAAGTAAAGTAAAACATGAAATACCAAAATAAAACAATAAAATAAAGTCATTACAAAAATGTTTTGTTGATATTCAGTAGTAAAGTTCAACTTACGACCATTTCGACTTACGACCGGTTTCTCGGAACCGAACTTGGTCCTAAGTCGTATGGTAGGTGTATTTCTTCTTTTCCAGTTGACCCTACCTCGGTGGGAGATGGCTAATGTGTTAAAAAAAATAATCTTTCATAATGAGTTTGGGTTAGGTAGGTAGGGAAATGTACACTTCTGTATCTAGTATTCAGTCTATGAATATTAGGTAAGGAACTTATTTTAAACAACACTGCATATAAAGTTTTCCAATCTCATTACAAATATCTTTTCCTATGTGTGATGTAATTTTACACAGAATTTCTGGGAAAGATTATGAACAGAAACATTATTAGTAAAAGACCTATAATCAAATACTATTCTATTTATAATAAATGCTTATAATCCTGCCTCGGTGGGAAACAGCCAACGTGTTTAGAATAAAAAAACCTTCGAAATGCGTCATGTGTGAAATTTTCCTGCAATATTTACCATTAATTGAAAGTGAAGTTGTTCCAACCAATGCAATGGCCTCCCTACATGCTAGGATAGCAAAGGATATACAAGGTTGGGAAGACTGTTGTGGAGCCCTGAGCACCCAGTGAGGAAGCCAAGCATACAGAGAAGCAACAAGATGAACCAAAGCCTGGACCTCTGTGGCTCTCAGGGTTCTCTTCTCCATCACATCAGACTTCATAGCTTGGTTTAAATACTTGGCACCTTCATCATACTATACAAAGAAAACATTTACTTCGTCATAATTTGATAATTTACACACGTTTATATATCGGGAGCAAGGGGCTAGTAACCCCTTCTCCTGTATAAATTACTAAATTTAAAAATAGAAACTTTCGTTTTTCTTTATGGGCCACCCGGCCTCGGTGGGATATGGCCGGTTTGTTGAAAGAAGTTTATATATATAAAGCTGTAATTACCCAGGATAGTCATTACCAGAAGAGCTTGGCTTAACAATTATCTTGGAACATTACTGTTACTACTAAACAAGATTTCAAGAAAATACAATTAGTTCAAATATTTCAAATGTTTCTAACACAAGGGAGGCAGATTAAACATTATTCAATGGAACTCTCAATACAGAGCAAAATTTGTTGCTAAAATAGTTCTTAAATTCAATACCAGACACTGGACAATTTGGTACCTTCCTCCAAATTTACTTCCCTCACAAACACACTTCTTTTTGCCTTCTTTAACAACGTGAAACGAAGTTCAAGATGTCAGAGAACCATCCTGACAGCATTGCATTAAATGAAATGGCATAGGCTACCTGTCCCAATTTGTAATGGTAGAATGCGATGGCTGCTGTGGTAGACACACAGAGGTAGGCAAGGGAAGAATCTTGACTAGCTGCTTGGCAAGAAACCATTGCTTTCTCTGCCTCCTTTACAAGCTCAATAGGCACTAATTCAGGAACTATCATTAACAGTTCACTTAAACCTGTGAAAATAATTTCAGTAAAAACTCTACATTACCAGAATGAAATTTTCTTATTTAGTAAAAGCAAAGAAAAAATTAAATTAGTTTAAATCAAGGACAGGGTAGCAATTGATAAAAGAGTAAACACCTCAATATTAGCATTCTAAATTTTCAGTCATTAACAATAATTTCAATAATTACACTTGTTTGTTTGTCAGTCCTGCATTTCCCTTTTGTTTAGTATCAACTTGGTGTGTATATGAGAAAGAAAATACAGGTGGGCCCCACTTACATAGCAGGTTAGGTTCTGGGCTACTGAAGAAAAAAAAAAAATGTTGCAAAGTGAAAGTCTTTTTTCACTTTCAAATGCATATAAAAGCCTGAAAATATGTTGACACTATCATATTAAGTGAGCAATAAAGATAGGCCTAAAAAATGCACATTCAGTACACACATTACGTACCTTAAAATATTTTTATCCTTAGCTTATTGTGAGTGGTGAATATATTCATTTTAAGTGGTCTGAATAAATGAAGAACTGGTATAACTGAAAACCAATGCATTAGCGAAATGCTGTAACACAAGGCCCTACTGTATAGGTACACAATACATGGTGTTTTCACCCTACATCTTTGTAAGGACTTTGTACTGTATGTACTTCAGTCTACAAATAACTCTATGCATTGTTTTAAGAGCAGGTATGTTAAGTTCCATGAGGTTCAGAAAGAGCGAGTCTGGCAAGTGGCAAGTTAAAAAGAGTAACCATATATAGGCAAGTACTGCTGATATGAGTCAAACTTAGAAAATGATCTGTTAAAAAAATTAAGATTTTCCCATAAAGTAAATATTGATACTTAAAATGTTAATGTGAGAGATATGAGAGTCCAGTCAAATGTTGGTAACTGGGTACTTGGGTATATACACTAATGTTGTTTCATTATAAAATTGATTAGGAAACAAAATAGATTCCCGGTTGGGGCCACTGTCTGTGTGGAGTTTGCACATTATGCTCACGTCTGGGTGGGCTTTCTCCAGGTACTCTGGTATCCTCCCACACCCCAGAGATGTGCACGTTTCTAAACTGTCCCAGTGTGAGTATGGATGTGTGTAAGTGCACTCTGCAATGGAATGGTGTCCTGTCCAGGGTTAGTTCCTGCCTGGTGCCCTGAACTGCAGGGATAGGCTCCAGCCACCTGTGACCCTGAACTGGGATAAGTGGGTTGGAAAATGAATGAACAATTGCAAATTATTGTAAAATAAAAATTCATAAAGTATAAGATAATCATACAAACGCATGACAATAAACAACATAGTACGAAAGCGCTCAACGAGAATGCCATATTTATTGTTTGTTTCTGAACTGTGTGGTGGTAGGAGATGCTCCTTACAATTTTTGGTTTGCAAACATTTATTCCTTGATTTAACCACTCCAAAGAATGCTAAAGGTGCACTGTGCACCCCTGATGTTTATATCAATTAGCCTACGGTAAAACTGATTTCGTTATATGTAGTTTCACTTAAAGTCATAGTTTCCAAGAACCTGTCGACGACATTAAGTGAGGACTTCCTGTATATATGGTAGGAAGAATATTGGACAGTGTAGTTTTATGTCTAGGCATATGGCATAGGAGGGAGAGACATTGTGAGGGTAGCAGGTGTCAGGGCATGCAGTAGGGAGGGTTGAGGTGATTACCATATATGCTTGTGCCTAAGTGGCAGTACGTCATTTATCAGCCTGGAAGAGGGCTGTCTCCACTTGCCCATACTTCCCAATAATTAATAAATGTATAGTTCTTGACTAATCTTTCCCAAATATGAGCTCATCACAAATGCATAAAATAAACATATAAAAAAATTAATTAGTTCAAGGCATTTTGTTTTAAGGTGAGGATCATTATAACTCAAATAATGCAAAAATAATCCATTATGCAACTTAATAATGTCAAACAGAGTATTTAGGTTTACAGAATTTGCTAAACTGAGCTAAGTTTTTGTCATTAGACACTGATCGCAATAAAATGATATGACAAGCAAGCAGTATATCTTCATTCACTTTCACCATCTCTAATAAATGCTTCCATTTTCAGAAATTTACCATAATTTTTAAGGGTAACAGTCTCAATAAATATTGGAGAAATATCATAAATAACCCTTTCACTGCCACAACCCACAAAGTTAAGGCCCTTCAATGTCATAATTTAAAAAAATTATTTCATATTCTAAAGTGGTTGAGAATCCTTGTTTATAGGCAGTGGCACCAAAAATGTAAAATTTGAAGTAATGCTTATGGAATTATTCAGGGGCAAAGTTCAAGGTCAAGAAGCACTATGCAACTGTGATGTCACCTACTCTAAGCCCACTTCCATTGCTCAAAGGGACCCAATTCTTGGCTGTTTCACTAGAATGCCTTCTGCTCTATCAATTTGAGCACATGAAACTGCCCTTTCAACTATTAGAACTACCCAATAAAGTGCCCAGAATTTGGCAATTCGGCAAATTTTACACAGAATTCAATAAATTCCAATTTAACCCTTTCAGCGTCCAGAGGCCAAATCTCAGAATGACAGCCAGGTTCCAAGAATTTAAAAAAAAAATTATAAAATGGTAGAGAATCTTTTTCTGAAAGTAATAAAACAACAAGTACAATATTTGATGGAAAACTGACAAAATACGCTCTTACAAATTTTAATGCATCAAGGATATTTATGCATCGGTGATTTTGCCAACTTTGACTCCCATTTTAGACCAATTACAATATTCTAGTCAACCAAATTCTTTGCTATTTTATTAGTATTACTTCTATTTTATCGATTGAGCACAAAAAATTGCCCAGTCAACTATGTATTTTAACTAACCAATAAAGTGATCGGAAGTTGGTAATTTAGCCAATTTAACACAAAGTTCAAAACATTCCAATTTCAAAACAGGGTCCAGAATAAACAAATGCAGGTATTCCTGGCACTAAACTAACATTTCTTCTGTTTATTAGTTACGTTTTCAGGCTTTACAAATGAACTACATTTTGATTTTTTTTCGCAAAGAGTTTTTCTTTACACCAAAAAATGGAAGATTCACTGTTATGCAATATTGTAATAAGTGTATAAATAATAATCACCAAATTTGTGAATGTACAGTGGTCCCTCATTTTTCATAGTTAATCCGTTCCTGGAGTTGCTACTATTATCGGAATCTACGATTTGCGAATCAATTTTCCCCATAAGAAATAATGTAAATACAATTAATCCATTCCCGACACCCAGAAGTGTTAAAACAAAAAATTTTTTTACATGAAATATAGATGTAGTACATAAACAATACAATGGGAAATGATGAATGAAACATTAACAGCATAACACTAACCTTTATTGGAGATTCTTCTTAGTGTATGGGAGACTGGAGGAGGAGAGAGATTGGATTGCTTACAGTTTGGAAGGGGAATCCCCTTCCATCAACACCTCAGGTACCAATTGCTTTTCTGGGGTTGCTTCTCTTCTCTGTTTTTTAATGCCACTAGGACCACCTTGAGAGTCACTGGAGTCCTGTCTCGAAAAATAACTGTGGAGATAGCTGTTTCTGGCGTCTCTTTAACACTTCCCTAAAATGGCCCGAGTTTGTCACTGTACATGTTGCCAACATGGCTTGCAACAACCTTGTCAGGGTGATGTTTCTCCATAAAGCTTTCCATCTTACCCCACATAGCAAAAATCTCTTAAATTTCTGAAGGCACCTTCTTCCCTCTCTCTTCCTCCTCTGCAGCAAGATTCTGAGCTGCGGACTGTTGCTGTTCCTGCTGAAGCTCTTGCAGCTCCTCAGTGGTGAGCTCTTCATTGTGGTCTTCCACCAACTCTTCCACATCCTCCAAACTCACATCCAACCCCATGGAACTCCCCAGTGCCACAATTGATTTAACAATCGTATCAATCGTATTTCTCACCTTCTTTACCACAGGCTTGGCACTAGGAGCTTTCTTTGGAGCCATGTTAGCTTATTTAGTACTTGCAAGCACTAAAACGAGTGGAATATTATGAAATATTTCGTAGGAGCACGTGAGGGGACCTTCGCTCACTGGTAAACAATGCCAGACTGGCTGGGTAGGGAGGCCGCCCCGGCTCACTCCGTGCGTATGTGTCCCGGACGAACTACTATTTGCGAGTCAACCTATGATTAGCGAGCCCATGTTTATACGAAAATATCCCTATGATTTCCGAAATCTATGATTCCTGAGAACTACAAAAAGCGAGGGACCACTGTATATCAGACCCACCAGCTGACATGTATTAGACATGTGACATCATTTGTTTACTCTTGAACATCGGCAAAAACTGAACATTTCTGCTACTCTGAGCTCAGTTTCAAGGCATTTTCAATATTAAAACCAATCAAAATCATCTCTATTTCTGTAATATATCTTCCATTATATCAAATGACATGAAATTGCGAATACAACTGTAAAAAAATACGAAAAAAAAAACATCGCAAAGTTGCCGTTTCAATCCAAAATTACAATCGCAGTTTTTTTCCTCATTATGCACTGCTTGCTGCAGGATTTGTTTAATGTTGTGCACACTTACCACACAGATGTATTTTCTCATATCTAGGCCCAAATTTACAGCTCACAGTTTATCTGAGTGAGCCGAGCTTATGGCATAGATCTACGGTTTGGACCCTGGCTTCAAAGCCGTAGATCTACGGGACGGACCTTGAAAGGATTAAACAATCCACAATCAACACTGTAGGCATTCTGGGCTACAGTGTCCCTAGGCCTCTCCTACATAACATTTGCCCTCCAACACTCTTATATGGGTGTGAAGCAAGGGTTGTAAATGCTGCAGCAAAGAGGTAGCTGGAGGCAGTAGGTTAGCATTCAAAAAGGGTGGCATTCATTTGAGGGATGGATATTTTTATGTGAAAGATGATGTGTCTAAGGGCAATGTGTGGTGTAAATATCATGCAGAAAATTCATAGTGTGGAAATTAGTTGGAGGTGTGGAGTTACAAAAAGTATTAGTCAAGAGGGCTGATGAGGGGGTGTTGAGGTGGTTTGGTCATTTAGAGAGAATGGAACAAAGTAGAATGACTTGGAGAGTGTATAAATTTGTTGAGGAAGGAAGGCAGGATAGTGGTCATCCCCGAAAAGGTTGGAGAGAGAGGGACGGGGTAAAGGAGGTTTTGTGGGCGAGAGGCTTGGACTTCCAGCAAGCGTGTATGAGCATGTTAGATAGGAGTGAATGGAGACGAATGTTTTTTGGGACCTGACGAGCTGTTGGAGTGTGAGCAGGGTAATATTTTGTGAAGGGATTCAGGGAAATCGGTTAGCTGCATGTCTAAGCACCTCTGCAAAGACAGTGATTATGTATGAGTGATGGTGAAAGTGTTGAATGATAATGAAAGTTATTATTTTTCTTTTTGAGTCACCCTGCTTTGGTGGGAAAAGGTGGAAGTGTTAAAAAAAAAAAAACTTGGGTAATAATATATAATTAAGAATGACCAGTCATGGTTTAGGCTGGCCCAATAATTGAAGCAGATCTAGTAAAAACCCATAAAACAGGCTGGAGGGCAGAAGTTCCTACATTGTCTCAGGAAAATTGCCAAAAAGCAAATATGTACAATATTCCTGCCACTTTGAGGCCTATTTCAGGGCCTTTCCAGTTTGAAACTGACCAAAATTACTTCTATTTCACTAGTATGTTTTCAATTTTATCAACTGATGCAAAGACACAGCCAATAAAAACCATGAAAACTACTCTAGAAAATACTTTGATAATGCTGTTTTAGCCCAAATGAAAGGTCACAGGTCAGCTGTTCTGATCATGCACTGTATGGGGCAGGATTTTTTTTAACTGTGCACACCCCACTGTACAGGCCCATTCTCTTGTCTAGGTATAATTGAGAGCACTAGACACACACATGTAGGTGCCACAGGCCTCAAAAGCGCATACAGTTTACACATGGAAGATGTGTGATAAATGGTTTAAAAAACCGACAAGTTGAAGACTGAGACACTGTGCAACATATGGTAATCTTTATTGAGGAAACGTTTTGCCACACAGTGCTTCATCAATCCAATACAAACCAGAAAGGTGTAAAGAGAGAAGTTTGAGGTAATCAGTCTCTCAGCCTGGAGTCGATGTGTTCAGTCCATCAATGATTGATGGACTGAACACATCAACTCCAGGCTGAGGGACTGATTACCTCAAACTGTTCCTCTCCTTACACCCTTCTGATTTCCTTTCGACTGATGAAGCCACTATGTGGCGAAACGTTTCCTCAATAAAGATTCCCATATGTTGCACAAGTGTCTCAATCTTCCACACGGAAGACAGTGAAAGGGTTAAATAAAGATCTGCCTTAGAGAAAATTTCCACAATGATTTATGAAGCTTTTCAACATCTGGAATATTTGCTAATGCACACCCACAGGCTAGGAAAATTAGGTGAAATAGTTGATATAACTGTTAATACAAACCTTTAATAAGATAGGTATGGAGGGAGTGTTTGCTGGCAATGGATACAAGTGTAGCCCAGGAGCACACTGTGGGAGTGATCAGACCAGAAAGTTGGTATACATAACCTGCTGATGTCAAACAGCTACAAGTCACTTCCACATCTTCAAGGCTGACTTCCTAGGTATAAAATATATTCTAAATTAAAATGAGCTTTAAATGCAACCTAAAATTAAACTCCAATTTTTACCACAATTTGTCTCAATATATGGCAAACTTGTTTTCTTGTGTAATGTTAGTGAAGCTGAGAAGAGAATATTAAGTTCTTTCTCCTTTCAGTATCTATATGAAGAACATTTGTGCAGATAATTATTTTCATAGGTAATTGGTAAGTGGACCAGGTGTTTACAGTGAAACATATAAGTGAACAGTATTTAGATAAGGCTAAAGAGGTCTTTGTGGCATTTATGGATTTGGAAAAGGCGTATGACAGGGTGGATAGGGGGGCAATGTGGCAGATGTTGCAGGTGTATGGTGTAGGAGGTAGGTTACTGAAAGCAGTGAAGAGTTTTTACGAGGATAGTGAGGCTCAAGTTAGAGTATGTAGGAAAGATGGAAATTATTTCCCAGTAAAAGTAGGCCTTAGACAAGGATGTGTGATGTCACCGTGGTTGTTTAATATATTTATAGATGGGGTTGTAAGAGAAGTAAATGCGAGGGTCTTGGCAAGAGGCGTGGAGTTAAAAGATAAAGAATCACACAAAGTGGGAGTTGTCACAGTTGCTCTTTGCTGATGACACTGTGCTCTTGGGAGATTCTGAAGAGAAGTTGCAGAGATTGGTGGATGAATTTGGTAGGATGTGCAAAAGAAGAAAATTGAAAGTGAATACAGGAAAGAGTAAAGTTATGAGGATAACAAAAAGATTAGGTGATGAAAGATTGGATATCAGATTGGAGGGAGAGAGTATGGAGGAGGTGAATGTATTCAGATATTTGGGAGTGGATGTGTCAGCGGATGGGTCTATGAAAGATGAGGTGAATCATAGAATTGATGAGGGGAAAAGGGTGAGTGGTGCACTTAGGAGTCTGTGGAGACAAAGCACTTTGTCCTTGGAGGCAAAGAGGGGAATGTATGAGAGTATAGTTTTAACAACGCTCTTATATGGGTGTGAAGCATGGGTGATGAATGTTGCAGCGAGGAGAAGGCTGGAGGCAGTGGAGATGTCATGTCTGAGAGCAATGTGTGGTGTGAATATAATGCAGAGAATTCGAAGTTTGGAAGTTAGGAGGAGGTGTGGGATTACCAAAACTGTTGTCCAGAGGGCTGAGGAAGGGTTGTTGAGGTGGTTCGGACATGTGGAGAGAATGGAGTGAAACAGAATAACTTCAAGAGTGTATCAGTCTGTAGTGGAAGGAAGGCGGGGTAGGGGTCGGCCTAGGAAAGGTTGGAGGGAGGGGGTAAAGGAGGTTTTGTGTGCGAGGGGCTTGGACTTCCAGCAGGCATGCGTTAGCGTGTTTGATAGGAGTGAATGGAGACGAATGGTTTTTAATACTTGACGTGCTGTTGGAGTGTGAGCAAAGTAACATTTATGAAGGGGTTCAGGGAAACCGGCAGGCCGGACTTGAGCCCTGGAGATGGGAAGTACAGTGCCTGCACTCTGAAGGAGGGGTGTTAATGTTGCAGTTTAAAAACTGTAGTGTAAAGCACCCTTCTGGCAAGACAGTGATGGAGTGAATGATGGTGAAAGTTTTTCTTTTTCGGGCCACCCTGCCTTGGTGGGAATCGGCCAGTGTGGTAATAAAAAAAAAATAAGGCAATTGCTCAACATGGAAGGTACATAATTAGGTTTGATCCAAAAAAAGAATAGCTCCAACTTCTAGGATCGAGAAACCTTCAATAGCATCAAGATACCACTCAGTCTGAAGCTGCTATTTTTAGCTGCTTCTAATTTTACTCATTTTAATTACTCGAAGTGCAACGATATATACCTCTGATGAGTTTTGAAAGTCATTCTACTCTCGGAGCCCGGCAATGGGCCAGAACATACCTGTCATATATAAAGCAGTATAATACATGTATGTTATTCCCCTTAAATCATGCATCAGGCTTGATTCACTTTGTACTTTCTCAAGTTTCACTTTATGCTTTTTTAGGCAAGGGTATAGATGTAATGTTTATCAAAATATAATGGCAATGCAGAAGAAGCAGAATCAAATGTAGCTGACCTGAGAGCTCAGTTCATTCCATATATTAAGTGCAGTATGAAGAGGTGCAAAAAAGACCTCTTGGGCATGAAGTGTGAGGCAGGTTGCTGAAGGGCGAACATCACACGTATCATCCACTTGCTCCTCTTCTCCAAGATCTGTAGCTTGAGTAGTCAGAGAGATGGGCTTCTCAGATTCCTCAGTCTCAGCCTACAAATACAAACATCCACTTAAAATATGTAAACAAAAGGGAATAAATTTAGAAGTACTAAGTGTTAAAGGAAATTCTGTATATAAAAAATGAGAAATAACAATACATTACAAAAACTGAGTCAATATTTAAATGATATGTGAGAAGTTTTTCATCCTAAGTATAGAACCTAGCTTTCCACATAACAGACCAGGCATAAATAGTAAGCCCTGCTGAACCTGCCTTATCAGTGCAAGGAGTTTCCCAAGAACATATTAATTTATAGTAATCATGTAAATACAGTATTGCAATAATTAAGGTAAGATACAAGATAAGAGTTTCTTTCAAGTTTTTAACCAGGGGGGAGGGTAAGCCACCCAGGATAACCCAACAAAGTCAGTGCATCAACAGGTATCTATTCAATACTAGGTGAACAGTAGCAGCAGGGATAAGAAAACATGTCCAACATTTTCACCAGTACCAGAGACTGAACCATGGACATAAAAGTACAAACTGAGTGTGCTATCAACTGAGTCATAGGGACCTGCAATTGCTGCTGCAACATACACACACATAAATAACAAAAAGGCACAATACCGTGACTGGAACGATACACAAATAACCCGCACATAAAAGACAGAAGCTTACGACGACGTTTCGGTCCGACTTGGACCATTGACAAAGTCACACTAACAGAGGAGGAGCAGGACGGCTATATATAGGCAGGAAGAGGTGGAGGTAGTAGTAGTGGTAGTAGTAGTAGTAGTAGTAGTAGTAGTAGTAGTAGTAGTAGTAGTAGTAGTAGTAGTAGTAGTAGTAGTAGTAGTAGTACTACTACTACTACTACTACTACTACTACTACTACTACTACCACTACTACTACCTCCACCTCTTCCTGCCTATATATAGCCGTCCTGCTCCTCCTCTGTTAGTGTGACTTTGTCAATGGTCCAAGTCGGACCGAAACGTCGTCGTAAGCTTCTGTCTTTTATGTGCGGGTTATTTGTGTATACACACACATCTAGTATATACAGATGTATAGCATTTAAATACATGCAATAGAGCTGCCAAACTGAAGATAAATCAGAATGAAAATGGTAATTATTTTGTTTCTAATGTTTTAATATAGTTGTACAGTGGAACCCCGGATATCGGCTGGTGTGGATATCGGCCAAACTGGATTTCAGCCACTTTTTGGGCCAAATTTCTATTCTGGATTTCGGCCTGCAACTCGGAAATCGGCCGTATTGGATGCGTCACCTTGCCACTCCACGTTCATGAGTCAAGTCTGGCTGTCTCTCTGAGTGAGTGAGCAACACTTCTCACAATCATCCAAACATTTCGTTATAATCTATTTTTTTTTGTGGTTGTTTATTGAGTGCAACTGCAAAAAGCCACCATGGGTCCAAAGAAAGTTCCCATTGCTAGCCCTTTGGTAAAAGAAAGTGAGAAACAAGATAGAATTCAGTGACAAAACCTTGTCCCTCTTCAGGCAAATCTTAAAGAGATGCCAGAAACAGACCTCTTTGGACAGTTTTCTTTGTGTGACCGGGGTGAAGTGACTCAAGCTGATCCTAGTGCCAGTAAAAGACAAAGAAGGAGAGTAACTCCAGATAGGGACTTGATACCTGAAGTTCTCATGGAAGGGGGATTCCCTTTCCAAACAATAACCCCAACTCCCTCTCCCCTTCTCGCCTTCTTCAATACTCCAACAAGAGTCTTCAATAAAGGTACGTAATGTTCATTTATCATTAAAAGAGTATTTCAAATACATTGTACATAATAGTGCAGAGAAAATTTTTAAGGATATATGAAAATATTTCTTGCCATGGATAGTTACACATTAATATATTTTTTTTAAATCTAAAAACTTCAAATTTTTTGTTCCTTATATAGGTACACCTATGAAGACTAGTCGCTCCATGACCCTTGTCAGTTTAGCGCTTTATTTGATTATAATAATAGAGGAGGGGTTTGGGATATTGGCAGTTTGGAGGGATATAGTGTATATCTTTATACGTACATGTATATGTTTCTAAACTGTTGTGTCCTGGGCACCTCTGTAATAACAGTGATTATGTACGAGTGAGGTGAAAGTGTTGGATGATGATGAAAGTACTTTCTTTTTGGGGATTATCTTTCTTTTTGGGTCACCCTGCCTCGGTGGGAGATGGCCGACTTGTTAAAAAAAAAAAAAATTGTTTTCAGTATGTAAATCTTTATGTTAGTACAGTGGACCCCCGGTTCACGATATTAATCCGTTCCTGAGAGATCATCGTAAACCAAAATTATCGGAAAGCGAATCAATTTTCCCCATAAGAAATAATGGAAATCAAATTAATCCATGCAAGACACCCAAAAGTATGAAAAAAAAACTTACCACATGATATATTAAGTTTAATACAATATAATGATTAAAATAACAATAACAACAAAAGAATAATCACAATAGAATAATTGACACTTACCTTTAATGAAGATCTGGTGATGATTGATGGGATGGGAGGAGGGGAGAGTGTTGAAGTTTTTAATGTTTAGAAGGGTTATCCCCCTCCATTAGGACTTGAGGTAGCAAGTCCTTTTCCGGGGTTACTTCCCTTCTTCTTTTAATGCCACTAGGACCAGCTTGAGAGTCACTGGACTTCTGTTGCACAACATATCTGTCCATAGAGGCCTGTACCTCTCATTCCTTTATGACTTTCCTAAAGTGGTTCACAACATTGTCAGTGTACAGGTTGCCAACACGGCTTGCAGTAGTTGTGTCAGGGTGATTTTCATCAAAAAAGGTTTGCACTTCAAGCCACTTTGCACACATTTCCTTAATTTCAATAGCCATTAGCACCCTTGGTCTCGATGGGTTGGCACTAGAAGCTTTCTTGGGGCCCATGGTGACTTATTTTGCAGAAACAAGCACCAAAAACAGTGATAATATGGATAATATGGAATGTACTGAATGTATCCTTAGATGCGCGCACACTGGCTGGCTTGTAAACACTGGACACGTCTCGTACGAATCGTATCGCATACCGGGTTTTGTATCAGGAAGCGAGGCAAATTTTTTTTTATCAAATGCATCGGCTACCGAATTTATCGGATACCGATAGCATCAGGAACCGGGGGTCCACTGTATGTTAATCTTTAAAAAAATATTTTTTTTTGTTAATATTTTTGGGTGTCTGGAATGGATTAATTTTATTTACACTAATTATGGGAAATATTACTTCCGTTTTCGACCTTTCCAGATTTAAGCCAACCTTCTGGATGGATTACAGCCGAAATCCAGGATTTCACTGTATATGATTTAATAATCTAGTGGTAGACTCATAGGGAAAGGTTCAGTAGAAAACTATGCATGGAACTTTTTTTTTTTTTTTAGCCTTAACCATGAAGGAGGAAACACATTCACCATCATTCATTTCATCACTGTACTCAACTATTTGCGGATGGAGTCGATTCTTGAATCCTGGCCCTGCATCTTAACTTGGCACTAAGGATTCACTCCCTTGTAGCCATGTGGGCCCTATGATACCTTCTAATCTTACAACAGAAATACTTCCTAACATCCCTGTGACTAATGTGTGTCTAACTTACAGATGTTTCTCCAAATTCCCATTTCTTGCCTTTCAAACTGCCTATTCCTGTCAATCTTGTCTTTTGAATATGCCCCTGGCTCTTCTGTCCTTCAATGTTGTTAGATTTAATTCTGTTAGCCTCTCCTTGTAGCTCATGCCCCTTAACTCAGGAACCAGCACCGTTGTGTGCTTCTGCACTTTCTTCACTTTCTTAACAAGTTTTCTTTTCAGGTGCAGATTCTATACTGGTGCTGCATACTCCAATATGGGCTTGATGTATGTAGCATAATGGGCCCAGAGACTGGTGGGTTTTCAAAAAAGCTACTCTTAGATTTGCTAGACGAACATTATCTAGAGGTTATTTGGTTTGTGCGAGTCTCTGGCAAAATACTGGGCACTAAGTTTGCTCCAAGGTCTTTCTTACATTGCCTTTTAATTGTATTAATAAATATCCAGACACTGTGACCTCTTTCTTGCTTTTCTCTGGCACGGATGGCTATTTGTATGTTTCAGTCCATTATATATGCACTCATGTAATCTCTTAAATTTAAAAATCTTCTGTTCAAACATGAAAGCACTTAAGGTATGATAATGCATGCAATTCTCAGTGCTTTATTGACTTAAGTAATCAACAATGTATGAAAAAGCAGAATACAGATTGAGATTTTTTTTTTTTTTATATAAGCTATTTACAGTTATACAAACTCTCTCTACAAGAAAAGTCTCAAATTTATTATACAGTAGAACCCCCATATCCAGTGATTCAATATCCGTGGTTTCAGTTATCCATGGTTTACTGTGGCCCAAAAATACTTCTTAATTTTGCATAATAATGGCCCCAAAGAGCAAAAGTAGAAAAATCTAAGAGAAGCCGTGAAGCGTTTCCCATCAGTGAAAGTGATAATTCTCCACTTTTTGTGCATACTTTATCAATTAAACTTTGTAATAATTATTTTTTTTAACATGTCAGCCGCTTCCCACATATACAGCCTCTCCTCACTTAATGACGGAGTTATGTTCCTAAGACCATGTTGTTAAAAGAATTCGTCGCTAAGTGAGGAGCGTACTATAATGGTAGCGAGTTTGTGTCAACCATCTTTGATACTATTTTAATGTCACCTTTGCACCATTTATAATATTTCTGGTAAATTTTTAAATGTTTATACAGTAGTGTACTGTATATTGAGATAAACAGAATAGAGGAAATCAGCTCTAGTATACATTATTTAGGTAGGAATACTAGTCAGAGAGCCCGTTGTAAGTCCGAGGCATCGGTAAAAGAGTAGAACATGGCTAAGTGAGGACAGGCTGTATGTATGTATATGTATGAATATGTATGTATGAATATGTATGTATGTGTATGTATGTATGTATATATATGTATATATATGTATGTATATGCAGAGGAGAGAGAGAGATTTTGGGAGATGTTAAGTGAATGTATAGGA